GGTGCTCGCGTTTGTTCAGATTGGGAAGATCGACTGGGTGCCAGACTTGTTGAGGGGTGATACTCTGGCCTTGGACTCTGTGCTGAGTGGTGTGGCTTGTCGAGCTTCAATTTGAGAACCGGTGATTCTAGTGATCGTGTATGGATCTGGATCAAAGAGTGGAGTCAGCGAATTCTTCTTTTGTTGTTTGCAAAGAACTTTTTGTCCAAGTTGTAAGCGATGTTCAAATGTCCTTCTTTTACGATTGGCGCGTTCGTTTTGTTTTCTTCTGTTGTCGATGTCCGTTTGGGGATTGTATTCATGAAACGTCTTGTTTTTGAGAGTGGGTAAGAAGTTGTTGATTTCTCTGTTGAACATAATTTGATATGGTGGGCAGTTTGTTGTTGAATGAGGGGTGCTTCGGTAATTGATTAAAAATTCTTGAATTTCTGCGTCTGGATTGTTACTGTTGATCGTTGCGCACAAGAGGGCTTTCTTGAACGTTTTCACGAATCTCTCAGTTCTGCCATTTGCTTCTGGCCAACGTGGTGTTATTAAATGATGCTTGATGTTAAGGCTTGAAAGATATTCTTTCAACTCGTATCCATTAAAGGGTGGTCCATTATCGGATTTAAGTTCTTTTGGTAGGCCAAATAGTGCAAATGTCTCGTCAAGTACGGGCTTCAGCTGTTTGAAATTGGTCGATGGTACTTTTTTGACAAATGGGAACTTTGAGAAATCATCTACCATTATGAAATAATATTTTCCATCTGGAAATGGTCCGGCGTAATCTACATCTAGACATTCAAGCGGGTGAGTGGATGTCGGGTATGTTTGAATCGGATTTCGCTGGTTGTAGGGTGTTACTGCTTGACATGCTGTGCATGACTTCACTACTTCTTCTACCATTTTGTTGATGTTGGGAAACCATACCTTAGTTCTTACCAGTTGTTTGGTTTTAACGAGACCTTGATGACCTTTATGTGCCAATCTGATAATGTTTTTCTGCAGTTTGCTGGGAATTACAATTTGACTACCTTTGAGAATAATATTACCATATACAGTGAGCTCTTGTTTGATTTGTTTGAATGTTTGCAGTTCTCGTTTCTTCCAAAACAAGGAATCATCTTCTAACAAGGCCTTTTTCAGTAGCTGCAACTGAAAATCATCTTTCATTGCATTTTCGATTTCTTCAAGTGAAATTGTGTTTGGTAGTGAATGATTGGTTACAAAAGCTACGTATTCTTCACTTTTATCATATGCTTCTGGTGAGCTGTGTGTTGGATGACGAGATAAATAATCAGACGGATTTGTTATGCCTCTTTCGTGTTGAACTGTAAATTTATAAGGCTGAAGTTTCAAACAAAGTAGTTCAATGCGTGCGTTTGGAGCTGATCGAGGGTTCTGTAGGATTGAGACCAAGGGTTTGTGGTCTGTGTGTAACACAAAGTGACCTCCTAACAGGTATATTCTGAAGTGATGTATGGCCCATGTTGCTGCTAATGTTTCTTTCTCTATTTGACTATATTTCTGTTCGGTCAAAGTTAATGTTCTGCTAGCGTACGAAATAACTTCTGTTTTGTTGTTAAGTTCTTGCGAAAGGATCGCTCCAAGTCCTATGGGACCAGCGTCTACATAGAGGTGCGTCTTTTTCTGTTGGTCAAAATAGGCGAGGTTTCGTGCTGATTCTAGTTGTTTCTTAAGATCATTAAAAGCGCTGTGATGCTTTTCAGTCCAGTCCCATTGAGCATCTTTTGTAATCAGCTCACGTAATATTGCAGTATTTGTTGCTAAGTGAGGCAGGAACTTTCCAACATAATTTAACGTTCCTAGGAAGCTTCTTAGTTCATGTACGTTTCTGGGCGGTTCTAGGTTAGAGACAGATTTGACTTTGTCTGGATCAGGGTAAATGCCTTTGCTAGAGAATACATATCCAAAGAAATCGATTTTGTTTGTGTTAAAAATGCATTTCTTTGTGTTGATTGTCAAATTATGGTTATCCAAACGTTCTATTACTTGCTTGAGAGTCTTATCATGGTCTTGTTGAGTTGTTCCAAAGATTAGTATATCATCGCTGATGTTTAACACACCATCTATTTGGTTTAACAGTTGTCTTATTGTGTTTTGAAAAATCTCTGCAGCGGAATTTATCCCAAAACTCAATCGTTTATATTGATACAAACCAATATGTGTTGAGAAAACTGTTATATACCGTGAAGATTCTTCTAATGTTAGTTGGTGGTAGCCATCTTTCAAATCAATCTTTGAGAAGACTGTTGCGCCATTTAACTGGGCAAATATTTCTTCAATAGTTGGTGTTGGATGCCTTTCTCTAAGTATGGCTTTGTTAGCCTCTCTCATGTCTACACAAATTCTGATAGAGTTAGGATCGTGATGTTTGGGAACTACAACTATGGGTGAAACCCAGGGAGTTGGTCCTGTTGCTTTTTCAATGATGTTTTGTTTCATCAGTCTTGTTATCTCTTGTTCAACTGCTTCACGAAGATTTATTGGAATTCTCCTGTGTTTATTTGCTACTGGAGGAATTGACTCATCAATATGTAGCTTGACAGTTTGGTTCTTGAGACAACCTATGCCATTACACAAATTAGGATGCTTGTTTTTGATATAGTTCATGTCCATAGGTTGATATATCATCATAGATAGTTGTATCAGCTGCAATTTGTTTGCTGTATCATAGCTCAATAATGATTCACTGTTGCCTTTTATCACAAATACATCTGCTCGCGTTTGGTGGTTGTTATAATGGAACAAACCTTTGAATTTTCCAACTACTTCTAACTGTTGTTGACAGTTGTACGGGAGAATCGATGAGGAATCTGGTTGTAGCGACTGCTGATGAAATTCTTTAAATGTGTTTGAGCTTATCAGATTAACAGATGAACCAGTATCTACAATGAAACTGATTACTTTCCCATTCAACTTAACATGTACCTGAGGGCATTTCATGGCTGTTCTGTCGTTTGGACGAATTGTTGTTTTGAAAGATGTCTCAGAATTAGTTGACTCTGGCTCCATATTAAGCTCATTAAAGCGAATTTGTGCTCTGTTCTTCCTCTCTCCATTATGTTTCTTGTTTATGCTAGTATTTGTGCCATGGTTGTTGTGCTGGGGGTTTGCTCGTGATTGTGCTTGTTGCTGTTGTGTTGATGTGGTGGACATGCAGACTCGGGCGTAGTGTCCTTTCTTGCCACAACTTCGACAAATTACATTTAGAGCAGGACAAGCTCTCCTCCCATTTGGATGCCATTTGCCTCCACAATTTTTGCAATTGTTCTTACTGGTACCACTGTTGGCTGGTGCGGTTCTGTGTTGCTTTTGTTTGTTTAAGTAGCTACATTCTTCTGTGCTTGTGTTCATGACAATCTTGTCTTCAATGACCTTCAGTTGATTAGCTGTGCACTCAATTGTACGTGCTCTGCTCAATAGATCATCGAGATTGGGTTGTTCAGTGAGTCCATATTGACGTAGTTCTGTGTACTTTGTGTTCATGATGATTTGAAGTTTGATTTCTTCATTTGGGTTTTCAAACGTGCAAGTCTTGGATAGTTTCAGTAACTTTGCGTAAAACTGATCAATTGTTTCATTCTCGCTCTGTCTGGCTTGCCTAAAATTAAACATTTCAAATTCTTTGTTGACTCTAGGGGTGAAATATTGTTTGAGCTTTCGTTTAGCTGTTAGATAAGGTGATTCATTGGGTTGTGCTGTGTTTGCTGGTAGTTCAGGAAGTGACAAATATAAATCATGAACTTCTTCGCCTGCGTAGTGGAGAAACATGGCTTTCTTTCGGTCTTCATTATCGATGCCTGCTGCTATGAGATAGTTGTCAAAACGGTTGAGCCACTTTTCCCACCTTGAGCCAACGTTATTGGGGTCTTCTGCTATATGAAATGGAGGTACTGGTGTTGAGTGGTTGTCCATGTTCTGCTATCTTTTTCTCGATTCGTTTGTTGCGAACCACGTGTTGTGTTGAGGTTATGTTTTTCTCCTGTTGTCTGTTCCGAGTGTTTGTTGTTTTTCGCTTCGTTGATCTTCTTCTGAGTTCTTTTAATACTCGTCGCCAAAATGTGATGTCTTGTTTGGGGTGGGTAATATTGTTAATTTCTCAAATTACACGAGCTCATTTTTCTAACTTATATATTCTGTCAACTGTCATTCTCTATCTCTTTTTTTAAGCTAGTACATTACACTCGCTTTCCGGGCAAGCATCCAGACCACTAGACCACGAGGCCACTTATCTTTCTTCGCTTACCGATGTGTCATTGTGCCGCCACACATGCTTACAATAACTTTAAAACATCAGCAACATTTCAAAGTATTCGGTTTCGCAGAGTCAAAATTAAATTGCAAAATGTTGTTTTATAATTTTGATTTTTTTCCAAAAATTTGGACGTTTCGAGTAAAAACTCAATACGGACTACCATGTTGTTTTATACAATTTACTATGTACGATTTTGAAGTGACGTCATCACATTGTTGGTGGGGATCATTAGACAAAGTTTAGTTAGCATTTTACCATCTACATGATATTTATAATACACATAAAATTTGACACAATTGGTCCAGAAGTTTCGGAGATTATCTATCTAATAAAAATCCGGACAGACGGCAGACAGATAGACGCAAACGGGAGACCTATTTCTTCGTTCTTTAGGGTTCATAAAAGGTCGAGAAAACGTAAAAAACGGTCGACGGACTCAATTACAAAACTTCCTTCGGTTATGCTCGGGAAGTGAAAAAAATAATTTGCCTCATTCATTAATTTTTTTGAGATACCTGTTTAAGTAATTCGAAAAACTATAAATGCATTACTAAATAATATAATAATATGTGTAGACCATAGTAAAATACTTCCCTAACTTATGTTCGGGAAGGAAAAATTAAAAATTGCTGTTTACAATTTATCTCGTGGTTTTTCAATTTCATTTATTCTAGACTTTACCAGTACATTGTACATGGGATATGTTGTCATGGTTCTAATACTGTTAAATCAATAGATTCTAACATATCAAAATCATCAAAATTAGGTTTGTGCTTACTTGTACTATTTGTGGCAAAAAGAGTTAACTTGCACTCTTTTACGGTGTGCATAATGAGCGAGTTCTACGAAATTCAGCAGCTAGTAAAATTATTTAACCCTCCACGTGATGATGACAACTCAGATTCCGATGACGAAAACTTGCATGAAAATACAAGCACTGAACCTTGTGTGGAAAGCAAACACACTCAAAAGAAAACAAACCCCTACGATAAAGTACAAATCGAAAAAAAGGATAATGAAAAAAGTGATGTTTACGACTTCGAAAGTTCTTTGACTTCAGAAGATGAACCGTCCCCTGACTGGAAAAAAACTCCGAAATGGAATATAAGTTATCGACAGCAGGTTTCGGCATCCGACGTTTTCCTTCAGGTATTACTGTCAGTTCCAACTCGTTTGGAATCATTGCTGTTTTTTATTTATTTCTAGATGGGAGCTAAGACACCAGCGACTGCCAGTTGTGAGGATATGATAGTGACTATAGATCTTCCTGGACAACACGTGCAAAATATGGATATTAAAGTACACAAGAATGAATTAGTCGTGTATTCACCAAATTTTAGCGTCAAAATACCGTTACCGCATCCGGTTCATCCTCAGAAAGGTGACGCAAAATGGGACAAGGAGCAGGAGAAATTAACTGTAACTCTGAGAATGGAAAGAGAATTCGATTTTATTAATTTTTGAAATGGTCACTTAACTGGTTAAAAAATAAATTTTATTAATAAGAATAAAAAATAAAAATAAGAATTTATTAAAATATCACAATACAATTATCTCAATACTACTAAAAATTATTGTTTAAAAATGTATAAATCATTTATTTTGGTTTCCACACTTTAATTAACCGGTCTTCGCTTCCAGTAATAATTATAGACTTATCAGACGAAATATCTACAGTCTTTATGGCCCCTAGAAACCAAAAGCACACTTACATATATTAGGTGAAAACTATATTATCGTCAAGAAATTATAATTTTCCAGTTATTTATTTAAACGGAAAAACAGTAATGTTTAATTTAAAATACGCACCTGAATGGGCTTGGTGAACTTCATATAATAGTTTAACTTCAACCATATCCCAAATAAATAAATTACCATCATCACAGCCTAAAATAAGTAAGAAACCGTCCCATTTTAAAGAGGAAATAGGTGATTTCATCATTTTAGTAAAAACTGATAAACCAGTTTCTACATCGATCACTAATAAAGTTTTATTTTTACTTCCTATAGCTAGCTTCACGTCATCTGGGCTATAATTAATTGTTGTTATACTGGAAGAATTAATCTGGTATTTTTTCTTCAGAATAAATTCTTTAGTCTGCCAAATATAGATTTCTCCATCTTCTGTTCCCACAGCAAGATAATTATTATTGCTGCAAGACTAAAACTTTAACAAGTTTTTAACAATGAAAGACGCTACTTACTGATCAAAATCTAAACAGTTCACATGAGAGTTGTGATCAATTTGTTTTTGTAAACACTGTATTGGTTTGATTACACCATTGGTATTTAAACCCTTCCAAATTTTAACAGTGCAATCGCCGCTGCCGGACACCAAGATATTCGATTTTGTACCCCAACTAATACATGTAATTGCGTCTTCATGGGCTAATACACTTTCGGTAACTTTTCCATAGTCTAAGTCGTACAATATTCTAAAAAATAAATTGAAAATTAACCAGTAGAAATGGTCGTGTTGGCCAAAACACGTTTAATTTACTCAAAAAACAAAGGCAAACCTGATGAGTTAAGCTCTTAAAGGAAGAATTTAAAAATGTTTGTATTCTTTAGTAAAATGATAGTTTCATAAACAATTTAGCTTTTGCTATATTAATGATGATACATTTAGTTCATTTTTGTTGTTTTCTTTAGCTAAATATTTTTTGGTCGAACTCGGTAGACTAAAAAATAATATTTTGGACACCCTTTTTAGGACAATTATCTTTTTATTAACGGCCATCAACAAGGAACATACCACAGATTTTGTTCAACAAATGTTTATTGCAAACGACGATTGTCGAATGTTCTCTAAAAAGGATTTTCAAAATTTATTACTTTCCAAAAATTTAGTACCACAACTGTGCATATGTTGCTTAAGTGCTACTTACATCTGATTATCCCAACTTCCTATAACCAAAATATTAACATTTGGCATCTGGACGCAACTACTTAAAGGCATATATCCAATGTTAGCACTTCTTATTTGACGGTTTTGTTGTAGCGAAAATACTTTTAATTTTGAATCATGACCCACTGAAGTAACTCGTGTGCAATCATCGCTAATAAAAAGACGACTGACGGTATTTTTATGGGTGTTAAACGTACTGATTGATTCTAATAGATTCATATTCCTCCAAAGATCTAAAAACGATCATTTAAAATATAAAGTTGTTGAAATCTTGAACCTTAGTACCCTCAGTTTCTGTTGATTTAACTTGATATGGTTCAGTCAATAATGGAAGACCAACTTTTCTGGAAGGGTGAGGTACTTTGAAAACTTGTTTAGGAATTTGTCCAAACTCCATTATTTGAACCTCTAATGCATGCCGTTGATTTAAATCTTGAATAGAATCTAAATCTACGTTTCCTTCGTAACACAAATGATAAAATACTAAAAAACACATTGATAAATGAAGCAAAATGTTTCAAAACTATGACCTACGGTTATTAGCTTTTATAGCTTCTTCCCCTTGTTGTTTATAACCAAAAATTAAATCGATCCACTGGTGCAGACTCTGGGATACAATATCACTTTCTAATGCACCACGAAGTTTATCAACAAAATTTTTAGGACTCTCTGCCCATGGTGGCAATTCCACATCACCAACTTTAAGTCCGTTATGTCTATAGCCAAAATTTATTCCCAAGTTGTTAACCAGAAATTTCCCTTCTTCTTCCACATCATAAAATTCAGGAATTAATTCTTTAAAATCGGACATATTTGTTTGGCAGTTTTTAAAGACATCTCCCACAGAATTAAACATTCTGTCAGGATGATCAAATCGTCCACTTTGCAAACACAAAACATAATGGGGGTATAGTCTCGCCAAGTAAAACAGTACAAAACCTGGAGTCGAATAATGCGAGCCATACATAAACTTAGGATGAGACATTTCTTCGTAACGTTCAAGAAGTCGTCGTAATCGAACTTTATCTAATGCCCCGACCGGTTTACTCAAATCTCTAAAATTTACTGGATCCTTTAAATCCAATTCGTTATTTGAATAATTCGATACAATCCATGGAAATACTGGATACTGAGTTAGATCATTTATTGTGCGATCACCTAAGCTGTAAATTTTCTGAGTAAATCAGGATGTAAAGTGTAGACAAAAATTACCTATTAACGTATAAAAGATAGTCATAATTCGATATAATACCATTTTGCCACTGCAGTGTCATTACATCCTGATCTAATTCTTCAAGTTTTAATGCGGGTTCTTGTAAAAGTTTATCATATAAATTATCTCTTTTAGCTTGATTTCTAAACGATAAATAAATATGTGGATTATTACAGTTTTCACCAGAGTAAATTTCTAGGCCCTAATAAATGCAAATGGAAATGTTAAAAGATGGATGAAATATGACACTCCAAAGCGGTCCAAACCAATATTTTATAAGAGTGTCTTGCTCTAACAAAACAAAAATAGTTTACAATTATTTAGCACCATCAAACACGTTTAGTTTGTAGATACGTTATTGAAATTGATTGTGCAATGTGTAAATTCTAGATTTTATGATAATACATATTTATATTTTAAAATAAAAAGTAGTACTGTGTTCCCAGAATGTTGGGAAGGTTAGAAAAACCATTTTTGATTTAATCAAGAAAATTAACTAAATTCATAAAAATATAAAAACTCAAAACGCAAAAAACGTTGCATGCCGATTTCGACTTTTTTTCCAAAAACCTACATATTTAAAAATAGAGATGGATGAATAAGTCAGCGGCACATAAGCAAAATTATGACACGTCATTAAATTTGTGGTAGGGATGATAGGTAACTGTACCCTAGCCAGAATATTTTTTATAAAACACTGATTTGGTTGATTTGGCGCGTCATAAACAAATCAAGCACTGTGTAACCTTACTTACAATATGTCGTAACAAGAATCTCCTCTTAACCATTCTTTTGATACTATTAAGTTCAATTTTAATTACTGGAACCTAACATGCAATTTTAGTCTCCAATTCATAAAAATCTCTTAAGATACTTACAGTTTCTACATTATTATAAGGCTGAAAAAATAACCTTGCTGTTGTTAACACAAGACGTCCCGGGTTAATGACTAATGGTGTAACTTTATCAGCCTCAGTTTCCATCACAACCTTTTCATACAAGTCTAGCCACAGTGGGTCAAAACTAACTCGCGCTTGTCGAGAATGGACAATTGTTGCAATCTTAAAAATAATATTACTTAGTACAACACGAATGTAAAATATTAACTATTACACTAACCATATCAGCTTGTTCTGCTGCAGGCAAAGTACTTGCGCGATGTAATTGACAAATTTGTGGTAAACAATTCATAATATTAGCATAATTTAGTTGGAATAAAAAGTTTGTGGATTCTTTAAATTTATAAGGAGCAACAATATTCCCTTCTAGCATTTCAATGTATTCTCGACAATTGACAGCCAGCACATTACTACTATTGGCTAAATACTTTGCGCTGCCCTTCCATTGCTCTATTACAACACAATCTTTTAATGGAATTTTAAGTATAGGTTTGTTGATGTCTTTAGGGTCAAAAACTAATGACTTAGAACACATTTTCAGTCGCCCATCTTGTTTTTTGCTATCGAAGGTTTTCGGAGTGACATCAGGTGGTATCAATACGGCACTAAAGTCTTCAAAATATATTTCACCAGGATCCAGAAGTAATAATGAGAACCTAAAAAATGTAAAAGAAACTATCAAACACTGTGTCACAAAAAATGAAGAACAGACACACTTTCCTCGATCCATTTCACAACTTATAACATGTACGAAAAAGTGCGCAAATTATTGTGATTATAACATTCGCAAATGATATTGTGAAATCTCATTTATCTGTAGAATATAAACAGTGCTATTGCATTGGATTAATATTGCTCACTACAGTGAATAACCTCAAAATTTGTTTATTAGTCAAAAAACTGTCACGATGTCACTCAGTTGTCAACTGTCAAACATTCTATGATAACGTAGGCAGCTGTAATAATGAAATTGAAAGAAAATATTTTCAATAAATTCTTTTTAAATAATTACACACGACGAAATACGTGCGAAGAAACCATACAATGAGAAGAACTCTTGAAAATATTTCCTTATTTTTTTATTTCCATTATCTTAAATTTTAATAATTCTATTCAAAGGTGTCGCCCGTTGCAAGTGGTTTGCATCCCGGGTGCGTTACGAAGCAAAACCAAAATTTTGACAGTCCAGACAGAACAAAAGTGTTGTTTAATTTCATTAATGAAAAATGACTACTTCAGTGGCACCCACAGAAATAACCGACGTAGAAATGAAGAACGCCGATAGCCCCCCTGGTTTAGAAGCTGGTGACAGTAAGCGAACCATCGATTTCCAGAATTTGGTGGAAATTCGTGAACAAGCCCGGCAAATCGAAAAGGCAGTCACCAACAAAGAAAATCGCTTCATCCTTCGAGTCCTGAGATGCCTCCCCAACACCCGAAGGAAACTCAATGGTGCCGTACTTAAAGGTTTAGTTAATCAGATCTATCCAGTCTCGGAAAGAGATGCTTTGACTGAATATCTAGAAGACGTACCCGCAGGGCTGGAACTGGAAACGGGACGAGCAAGATCAGCTACAAAGTCGCCAGTGCCTGAAGTCGATGCTTATATCCATCTCCTTATTTTGGTTTATTTAATAGACACGAACAAGCTCTCAGATGGGGTAAGATGTTCACAAGCTTTAATGAATAAAATCACAAGCCAAAACCGCAGAACTTTAGATCACATTGCGGCCAAGTGCTATTTTTATCACTCTAGAGTGGCCGAACTAACAGGGAAACTGGATTCTATTAGAGCCTTTTTGCATGCTCGCTTGAGAACGGCCACTTTGAGAAATGATTTTGAGGGTCAGGCGGTGCTCATTAATTGCTTGTTACGAAATTACTTGCATTACTCCCTGTATGACCAGTCAGACAAGCTAGTTAGTAAATGTGTCTTCCCTGAAACTGCCAGTAATAATGAGTGGGCTCGCTTTTTGTACTACTTAGGCAGGATAAAAGCAGCCCGGTTGGAATACAGTGTGGCTCATAAACATCTAGTCCAAGCAATGCGGAAAGCCCCGCAAAACGCTGCAGTTGGATTCAGACAAACAGTCCAAAAGCTTCTTGTTGTAGTAGAATTGCTTTTGGGAGACATCCCGGAAAGACAAATTTTCAGACAAGCTAGTATGAGACACTCATTAGCACCATACTTTCAACTCACCCAAGCCGTCCGAATGGGAAATCTACACCGCTTTGGGGAAGTCTTGGAGAATTTTGGACCCCAATTTCGCCAAGACCACACATTTACCCTAATCCTACGTTTAAGGCATAATGTAATCAAAACGGCAATTCGTGCAATTGGGTTGTCCTATTCAAGAATATCTCCACAAGATATTGCAAAGAAACTTGGCCTGGACAGCGCTGAGGATGCGGAGTTTATAGTCGCCAAAGCAATTAGGGATGGCGTTATTGAAGCAACTTTGGACCCAGAAGGTGGTTATATGCGCAGCAAAGAGAGTACCGATATTTACTGCACAAAAGAACCGCAAATGGCGTTTCATCAGCGGATCTCGTTTTGTCTAGATTTGCACAACCAGAGTGTTAAAGCAATGAGGTATCCTCCTAAGGCGTATGGAAAGGAACTCGAATCTGCTGAAGAGCGCAGAGAAAGAGAACAGCAGGATTTAGAACTGGCAAAGGAGATGGCTGAAGAAGATGATGATGGTTTCCCTTAAACATTTCTTCTGTCATACAAAGTTGATCTTAACTGTATTTTATAGTTCAATAAATTTGTGTATTACACTTATAAATGTGCTGTGTCATTTTTGTGGAGGGAAGCACTACTTAAAATAGACATCTTTAGAGTTACAGTAGTTCAGCAAAAGTCTAATTATAGAAGTGTGATGTTTTATAAATACTGTGGGTAATGCGTTTTATTGTAATATAAAATAAAATCAAAATTCCTTGTTTGGAAGATGTGAAATTATTTATCGTGTATAAATAAGATTTTTTTTATACAATTAGTTTTAACTTAACAATTTTTTAAAACTAGTTATTGTTGTGTGCCAGTTTTCAGTGGATGTGATCGCATGTAATAATACTTGTGTATTTTTTTTCTGATCCCCGAAACCATCTTTCATAACCAGATTGCATAAACCTGGCCCGCCACCCTTGAATTTGTCTAATATTTATATGTACAATCTTTTACCATTAAAATCTGAAATTTGTGGAACCGAAATTAGATGCTTATTTAAATGACTAGTAATTGAAAAAATTGATTTTTTCAAATGGAGTGGTGATCAGTATAATTTTTAAATACACTGACCTCTTATTTATTATTATTTTTATTTTTAATATACATTACTGTGGATTTTACTGGCAGTAATACATACCTCAGCCCACTATTATCAAAAATAAATTTTGGTGGAGCATTTTCACCTTAACATTCAGATAGTTGACATTTTATTACTATTATCGTATTCTAATTTTTATGCCGAATTCAAAGTGTAAAATCCAATTTCTTATAAGAATTGTAAAATTTGATTTTGCGAATTTTCTTTTTTTTGTTGTAATAACCCCTTTATGTTAAAATAACGATAGGCAATGGTATGGAGTATGGATTGTTAAAATGCCTACGGGTAAACAAGGTAGCTGTCCGCTTACATTTCAAATGAGTTTTTCTTGATAACAGTTTGTGATGATACTATCAACTTTTTGGTAGGGATAAATATATCACTTTGGATAAGCACAATGTAGTAAACAATAATACTTTATTCCGAGAATTTCAGAAAAATGAGCAAACTATGTATTTTTCATTTATTCAGTACTTACATCAGCGTAATTTTTTTGGCACACTGTATAAGCAATTCTAATATAATAAATTAAATAATAATATATCAATAAATCATAAGAGTGTAGATTCATAACATTTTGTATATTTTAGAAAGAATTTATTCAGCAAAATTTTGAGATGACGTCATCAAATTTTTGAAGGCCATAAACTATGAAGTTAGAATTCATTCCAAGTACTTCCGTGCGATAAACATAGATTTTGATTAGCGATGCTTACGAACTTACGATAACCTTCAAAGATTTGCATGATTTCAGAGTACTGAATTTTCTAATTTTTATAAATTAAATCATTAAATATTGCTATACAATTTGATTTTTTTTTTACAAAAAATATGGATATCGAAGGTAAAAGAAGCATGTTATTTTATAAAATTTCAGTAGGATTCACTTTTCGAAGTTTTGGGATGATATCATCAAATTATTATTGGGATGATGTCATCAGATTATTAGTGGGGATAAAATATGAAGAGAGGAAGGAATATGGTTTGACGTCATTCTATGTCTCCATGAGATAATCGGACAAATTTTGGTTATCGCGTTTTACTGTAAAATTTTGCTGTAAAAGACTAGATGTAGACTACACAGGTATATGTATGTACATATGGGCATATTATTTTATACATTTTAGATAGGATGTTGTAGGTATGTATATACCTACTTATTGTTTTTGGTCAAAATAATCAGACAAATTTTAGTTAGCGTTTTACCTTAACGGAAACGGGAAACATACTATTTCATATTCTAATAAGAGCTACAAAACGTTGAAAACATTAAATTTTATGTTTCGTCAGATGGACCCTCTTACATTAATCCCGCTAATACCCTCGAGAAGCAATTCTGTTGTGTCAGGAAATAAGAGTTAATGAACAATCGATTAAGCAAGCTCAGTTTCTTTTAAATAAACTAGAAAATTTAATTTAAATAAGGGTGGATCATGGAGGTAGAATGATTCCACGTCCACGGGGTGAATTTATGCTTCAAGTAAGATTTTCTCAATAAAATTTTGTGATGACGTTATCATTTTTTTTTTTTTGAAAAAAATAAAAATAATAAATATATCAATTTGAATAGTTACAGAGTAATACTAATTAACAACAGCAGTGTACAACTGTAGAGTTTTGGAAAAACCAGCTAAGCCGTTTTTGATTAAATTAATAGTTTCATTTATTAGTAATTTTGAGCCATATATATAAACAAAACTAAAAAATACGAAGCATGTGAAGAAACAGATATACATCGGTATATGCAGAAGTAGGTACGCTTTTCTGAATATTTCAAATGAGATTGGGTTTGCAAAATTTTGATATGACATCATGAAATTTTTGAAAGGGATGAGATGCTGATTCACATTTTTCGTGAGAATGAGTAAACAAAATTTGATTAGCACCTTAGGCCTTACCATTGTAAGGATCCAATTCGAATTTTTAAATTTCAAACGAATTCCGCGCGCACAAGAAACGGTTAGTGAGAAGAAGGAGAGGTTGGCAACCAACCACCCCAAAGAAACAGAGATGCGAAAAGCGAGGGTGATATTGTCTTGAAAACGGTCACTTCGCTTTGACCGCTTGGAACGAACGGTCGACTTCTTTTCGAGCGCTTCGAGCAACAGGTTGTATTTTTAATTGTGAATTATTCTGTGCCTTTTGCTGTTGTGTTTTGTTTTTCCAGTGTTGATCTGTTCCATTGGAAAACCTAGCAGCCTCGTTGAGCCATTGGGTGTTCCTGATTTCTCATCGTTCTTACGACGAGGTTTTTGTGTTCCTGTTGGCGGTAAGCCGTGTCGAAATCTTCGCATCTTTGGAGAGGTATGTTTTGAACACCTGTTTGGCGGCGAATTTCAAGCCCCGACGATGCTTCTGGCCTCGTGACATCGACGCGTGCGCTTTTTTCCACTAATCTCGTTTTTTTATCTTTCATTTAAAATCCATCGCAGTAGGGCTTTACAGGAAGTGATTTCTAGTTCGGGCCATGCTTTATTTAGCTATATTTGTGAAATCTGTATTTTGGATGGCGGCAAACGAGTTGTTATTTTCACCGTTCTTTGTTCAGGCAGCGGCCATTTTGGAGCGTCCATTTTGTTTCTTTTAACCGAGCACATGTTTTGACTGAATCTATTGAACAAATTAACAAACATTGTGGGTCATGGGGGGACGTGCCTTCTATTCCTTTTATTTAGCCCATCGTTTATACAACGCCACAGGATTCATCGTATTTTGCATCGCATATTTTCGACGCCTATTATTTGGAATGACGAATTCGTCCAACGCCATTTTGCAACTGCAGATTGTCTACCATGTTTGTTTATGTGTTTTGTTTGGGGAAATGTATGTGTAATAATGGCCCACAATGCAGCTAAATAATTTCACGTTTGAATTTTAACCAATAACTTGACTGGACACGAATTAATATTAATCACATGTAAATCTGTTAACTTTACACTCTTTCACCTCATGCAATTTGTCTTTGTCTCACAATTTTAGCTTCAGTAATTTTCTTGGCTGTATAATTTGAATTGAATGTAAATTTCCATGCTCTACAGTTTTGACCTAACATGATATTTTATTTGCACAAGTCTATTTCACACCAGATCTTTGTTTTATAAATCTTTGCTAAGTTTTGTTCTTGTAAATGTTTTGTTGATGAATATTTCTATCATGTAAATTATCTGATGTCCAAATTTAATCTCAATTAAGAATCATTTGTTGTTGAATTTTCGTAAGAGTGTGTGGCGAATTTAAATGTTGTGTATTGCTCTTTGTTGAAACTTTAACACTTGTTCGGTTGTCATTTAATATTAGAGTCATAGAGATTGAACATTTAAATAGAATTGAAGGTAAATAACACAACAACACGTAGTGTCGGCGGTGGGCGCAGTTCCTAGTTGCGGTAGCGGAATGTAGCGCGTTGTCTGCACAAGACGTGCAGACTTTGAATCAGATTTCAGTGGGAACGGTCTTGACGACGAGGTAGTAGTTGACGAGACTTCACCGCTAGTTTTAGGCCGAAACGGCCTGCTTGGACAACATGTTCGTAATGGAGGGGTGATGTCTGGCAGGCTTGGTGTAGATAGAATCACCGTCGCGGGGGAAACCAGCCCAGACCGGGAGCTCCAAACTTCGCTCACGCTACGACACCCCCTCTGGGTATTTTGCTGTGCTCGTAAATGAAATTGATATATTTTGTTTTATGTTTTGTTCGATCGCCACACTCTCATAATGATTCGGGTTCTGCCATCCAATTTACATATGTGTAGGTCTTGTGTTTGTTCGGTTTTCATATGTGTATGTCTGTCAATTCGCGAGTGTTTTCTTTCACATATCTTAAGGTGTTTGAAATGTAATATTTAGGTCGTCCGGGAATAAAACCAAGGGGGTTTTTGCGCTGAGGGGTAAATCTTCGTAGCGTATTTCCCCCTGTGAGGGTGGTGCCGTTTCCCCCCCTCCAAAACAATTTCTGTTAATTATTTCTTGCGCTCTCGACAGTGTATGCACTTGTATGAAAGAACTTCTTCCCGCCATTTTTCAAAACAAAAAAAAAACACACAACGTAGGTTCTCATTTGTTAGACGATCACAGCCAAGGCCAAACTTTGAATTTTTGAATTTTTCGCGGGCCTTTCAAACTGTTTCAAGGTCAAAATTTTAAGGCGGGAAGTTTGGGTTATCACACCATATACACGATATTCTTAAAATACATCACCTGCTAATATTTTACAATAATTTGTCCGGTAGATCCGGAGATTACTGTGTGTAATAAAATCGTCAACACTCGACCGACGAGACAGGTAGACAGGCCGATCGAAACAGGAGACTTACTTTTTAATACCCTAGGAGTTATGAAATGTCGATGAAAAATTAAATTAGTCGTTCATCAAGTAAAGTAAAAAGCCCGTAATGTTAAATTTTGAATATGTTTAAATATAGTCGATTAATAAAGTCATTAAGCAAGTTTTTCTTGAACGTAGTCTCTACTTGTTGAATATTTTAAAATGACTATACTTCACTTTTATTTGAGAATTTTAAGTAGAAACAAAATTCCACAGTGCATTCTTTTTCAAGCGTTCACCTTATATTTTCAAAAAATGGCGCACTTATAAAACTCGAAAAAAAAACATTCAAAAATTCCATCTCATGTACCCAACACTATGTAGTGACTAAAAATATGGTGAAATAGCGAAAAGAAAAATTAAACTTTAGAGGGTTGTCTTCTAGATTTAGGCTTAAAGATTTTTTTTTCTCAACTCAATGCACAAATCTTAACAACGTGTCATAAAGTTAGTGCGCTATTTTTTGAACAACTGTATATACTTTTGTTTTATTAATCTTTCAAAACCACGTAACTTTCCAATGCGATAACGGATAATAACTATTAAGGTAGGTAAAGTACATAAACAGCTCTGATAAATGCTTGTGGTTTTATATTGTTGTGTAACTACGCTGAAACCATCTTTAAAACGCCGAGATATTATTCCGAGCTTTATTCCTGAAACCCGAAAATTTTACAGGTAGTAAAACCGCGTAGGAACAATATTCCGGTTCAACCTGCTTCGGCCAATTCCACAGGTATCCCGAATTTTGAATTTGGCGCGCTATCATATGTTTTGAAGTTTGTTCGTTCGGTCGCTAAAGCAAAAATTGCAACAATCAAATTTGACACATTTTTGGAAATGTGGCAACGTTACCGACGAGAAAATAGTGTGCTTTTTACCTGAAAGTAATACCTTTGAACCCCAGTTGGATAAAACCCATATAGGACAAGTCTTCTCGTTGCAATTGCAGAGCAGATCGCGAAAAAAGTGGGGACGGAGCGAACAAAGCTGCATTCTGCAGTGTGATTCCCGAATGGTTGAGTGTCAGAATTGTTTTGCTGAATGTTGAATGGTTAGGTGTTATTCGGTGTTCAGGTCAAGACGTTCGCTTCCACCTGCGACGTTCGTGGGCCCCAATAATCAGGTGTTGCGGTTGTGGTGTCTGTGCCTAACACAAGTGCTGCTGTCAATGGGCATCTCCTTTTGGTCATTTTGCCCACCAGAAGCAGCATCGACTGTCGAGGAGAGCGGTGTCCAGTTCCTCTCGCTGTGAATGGAAGTGTTATCCTTCTGGTGCGCCTTCCTGCTATGATCTTGGATGCGTTGGATGTGAGTGGGATATAGGTTATGTCACAGTTGTTAACCATCATGCCCTTTCAGAAGTGTGCTTTGTAACATCAATGTTTTCTGGAGATGGTGTGTAAAGAGGATGTTTTATTATGGTTTAAGGACTTGGAGGGTTATAAAAGAATAGATGTACTGTACGAACTGCTAAATATGTGCATTCCTTTCGAACTCCGTTTCCTGGGGAGCTGCATTGAAGAGATTGGTAAACACACGTACCAAGAACTGCGCGGACCAGCCATAAATGCCAACGACTTAGATAGACTGTCCAAAGATACCTCATTTACTCAAGGTCTCTTAGATGAAACTGTTCGGCATCGAGTGTTAGTTTATTTATCTTTGCTAGCGTCAAGGAACTATAGTGTTGCCAACTGGCTTTACAAAAATGTATTACGGACAGACTGGTTAGAAGATTGTATAGTGAAAGGAAATCTAAAGGATGAGAACGTTCAGAGTGAATTTTTGTTGTTGTTTGTTATGGCTTTGCACCATCCAGCTTTTACTTTCGAACAAAAGCTTTATTTTAATACTATACTCACTCAACTTATCGAATTTAGGGAAGCTAAAAAGAGGAACTCGCCCAAACCTAGTGGTTATGGATACCCTCCAGGATTTGGGTACCCTACAGTCAAAACGATGGTGAGAGCTGTTTTTAAGTACATATCGAGCTGTTCATTTAAATTATTGTGTTTGAAGAAGTAAGCATTTTTTTTTTTTTTTAGTTTGTTTTTAGTGTAGTTACAACATATAATTCAAATATTTTTCTTTCAGAAAACGTTTTAAAGCGTTAAACATTGTACCACTAATTCAACAGTATGTTTTAAAACAAAATTTTAAATTTTAAAAGATTGTCACGCGCTCCCTTGATCTTGTTTGATCTTTTTACATGTTATATTTACCTAAAAAAACATGTCAATTATTAAGTGTTAAATTATTCTTTTTGTTTTGTTTTTGATAATTATTGATAAAACAAAAAAAAAAGTTCTATCATAAGATAAGTGATCCTAACGTGCCTAATGGAGCTAATAAAACAACATCTACCTGCAACAATATTAATTTTATTTAATAAATATATAATATATATTAATATGCAATATAAATATAATTTAAAAAATGTTTAAAATGAGGTAGAAATTAATCATTTAACGTAATTCATTCCATTAACGACTAGATAGATATCTTTGATCATGTGATGCTATACATATAATCTCATATATTTTTTTGCACCCAGTTTTTTTTAACATTTTGACGCAACTGCAAAAAGTAATATCAATAAAAGTTATTGTAGGTATTCGGTTTTAAAATCTTTGTTAAAAATGTCACATAGAATTTTCATTTCTTTAATTGGTAATTAAATTTTGTATTTAATTTTATTGGTAGTTTATTCCTATTTGTGAAGCTTTTAGTTACAATCGTTTTTTTTTTATTTGAATAAAAATTGAATTTGATATAAATTTATAAAAATATGTATATATAAAGTTACAGGTAACCAAAAACTGAACATAAAGGAGCTGTAATTGCATGGTGTAAATAAACGCTAAACTCATTCGAGTCTTACTAGGACTTTTGAATTTAATTAGTTAACAAAATTTTCTAAAGTTAATGTTTATCAAACAATACGAGTTTTTTTCTTTTTTTTCTGTTTATTCCAATACACCGTTTTTAAAAATAAGGAAGATTTTGTGTATCTAAATCAAAACACTAACTACAGACTCATAAGGTATCCTACAATTACTATTACATAACTGCATTTCATAACATGATTCGATGATTGGACATAATTTATAAAATAAGAAAAGATCTATTATACCGTGTTACGATATGATTTTTAGAATATCTGTTTATTATGATAATATAAAATTATTGTCGTAAGTAGTAATCTAATTGTTGACTTATCATTTTATTGCAAAATCTGTTTTTTTTCCTTATATTTATTTTTATGTTTATTTTGATCGCGAATAGTTAATAATTATAATTCATCAATTAGTTCATCTTAGATACTTTTCAGTTGTATTATTATTTCAGGGTTGATATTTCTTAAACTATATTATTTACTGTAGTATTTTCCATTATATTTGTTTCTGATTGTAAATGATATGAATTTAAATCAAACCGGTTAATGTAGCCGTCGTTTTGAAATGAACACGTCTTTCAAAAATGAAGCAGGTTATTTTTTATTGAATTTGTGACATTTGATACGGGAAGTGCAATCTGGACAAGTTTTTCTAAAGAGTATATATCCATTCAATAACTTTTGTTCATGAGCTTTTATTCTCATCAAAAAACGTCGGCTATTGTAATGTATTACATATATTAGCATTATGTATTAGTGATCAATCAGTTAAGTAGCCCCTGGAGGAACTTTTTGATAACAGTAATCTAAATTTTAAATTATCAACAATTTTTAAAGAAGACATTTTTAACGTTTAAAAATTTGTTTGACCGTTTTGTTGTATTACAGTTACATTATCTAAATCTTTAAGTTATTAATTTTATTGTACCTTATCAATCATAATACTATAAAGATTGATAGATGATCAGTTAGAATTTATTATCTTTGGAATGTTCACCATGCATTCTGGATATCCAAATAAATAATCAAAAAAATAGGTAATTTAAAACACCTGTGTATTTTTTACTATCAGTGATGTGTACACATCCACGTAATTAATTTTTTATCAATAAGGAAAAACTCTAATGATATGTACAAAAATTATGTCAGAATATGTAAAATATTTTTCATGGTAGGAGTATTTGCCGTGAAAATTTAATATATATTGCTCTTACATAAATGCGCTAGGCAATAAATTAAAGTGTTTGTCCAGTGGAGAAAGTAATTTAGTCGAAATAACTGGCATAATTTATAATTATGAATGTAAATTCTGACATATAGCATTTTGTTGTGTAAAAGCACCTTAAACAATTAACTTTGAAAAACGTCAGCATTGATTTGACCGTAGGTTGAAAGCAGTTTGTAAATCCAGTGTAGTACATAAAATACAAGCAGTTTCTTTGAAATAGCTCCCAGCAACATAATGTTTTACAGCAAGCGGGCACGAATCGAAAATGTACTATTCAGTTTTTGGTGTATTCAATTCAAATTCTTGCGAAATTGTCTATTGTGGATTTTAAAAAAGACGTTTCTCTTTGTCTTTGAAAATTTGTAGAAATGACTATAACATACTGTGAATTAGTGTTAGAATTGTTTATTAGAGAAATTATCATTACGTTTTAATAATTTGATATTTTGTGTTGCAAACACTGACAACGCCAGTAGCACCAATTGCTAAGTACAAGTGTCTTACAAAAAACTCGCAGGTATATATCTGGAGAACTGATTCGATTACCAAATTGAAATTTTGAAAATGACGTAGCTTTTAGATTAAAAAGTAATCCTAATTTGTTATTATATTTCTTTAGACGGCATCCTACATTTTATAATGGAGTCGTAGGGAATTTTAAATCATGGTTACAATGATGAACATACCCGGATTTTATTGGTATCCTACATTGACAAAACTAAAAAGTTTTAATTTGTACATGGCTAACCGCCCCAGTCGGGGGTCAGTAATTTTATGAACAGTAAAGATTACATCAAATTTTATTTAAATATGTATTGTAAAATGTTGTAGACCGACAGATGAAGGGCATTAAAACCCGGAACTATTGATTCATAAATAGTAAAAGATTCAGTAAGAAAGCGTTTTAATTTTTTTTTTTATAAATTAATTAAAAATAATATAACTATGCTAAATCATAAATAATGTAGGTATTATTAGCGTAAAAACTATTTTTTTATTAAAGTAGAGTAACAAAACATTTTTGTAAATCTTCAATAATAAGTACATACTTTGAAAATTAATTCTATCGCAATTCGTCGGTACTGGATGAACTTTTCTACACATTTTACGTATTTTTTGATAATGAAAGATAAAGTAAATTAAGTATGTTATACGAAGTTTACGATCGCGACGTCCTACACTAAAGATGTACGAAATTAGGGTTCTGTTTCAACTAAAAACGATGGCGTTTGCAGAATTTTAATATCTCAAATCATTCTGTAGATATATACATGTCCGCGCTATTTTGTAGGGAGACACCGTGTAATATACAATAGTATCAGTCAGTGACAATTTGATATTTTTTACATTTAATTTTGTTTATTCATTTATTACAGTACTTTACATAATAGATTAGTAGATTAGTTTACTTATTTTTGTTGTGTAGTAATACATTCTATGTATTTACATATATTCAGTGGTTTTTTAATGCATCGGTGCGTTGTTTGTCCATCAGCTGACCTAATATTATTTCAATATATTGTGAGTTAATTTTTCCAAATTTGTTTGCATTGAATATATTTTCGATAGTTTGAGTCAGATTGACTTCAGAAGTAGGTACAATGCGACCGAAAATCATCCTTAGCAAAGTCACCTTTCGTTATAATGTTGCCTGTCGGTTATTGACTCTATTTATCGTCTTCTAATATATATTGACAATTAAAATATAAATATTCGATCTGATACAGATACATGCGATATTTAAGTAAGTAATAAATAAGTCCCATTTATCTTCATTCTGTCGTTATTTGTTGTAGAAATAATTATTGAAATAATCGTTACCACGATAGATAGTCGTTTGTTCAATTTACCAGTGGTTGATAAATTTGGGCCTCAAAATATAAAACTGTTGGGACTTTTTTTAAATGTTTTGTTGTTACTCATATATTCTGTAGTTGTTGTTTTTTCACATTGAAAGGGGGCCCTGAACAGCAGACTGGCAAGCACACGCTCATCATCATTAATGAAAATTACTTATATGTAATGTAAGACCAAACTTTATATTTTGAAAAAGTTCTATAATATAATTGATAATCCCATATTTGTTGGGTTGAATATTTAAAAAAACAAAAAGTATGTTTGTTTTCTATATACATACATTTTTTTGTAGATATCATTAGATAATGCTAAAAAGCTTTTGTCGTGTGAACCTCAAACCTTACGTCCATTATTGGATTAGGTTTTTATTTTATATTACATTACAGTATTTTGTATTGTAAAATCAACAAAAAACTGCTGCTTACAGTGGAAAATGAGAAACAGCTAAAATCCTCAGTCAACTAGAAAACAATTTTTTCAGTCGTACGATATTATCGTTTGAAATAATAGCTTAATTTAAATAATAATAATTATTATTAGTATATTGATAAATTGAGAATAACATGACACGAGTTTTTTGTGCAGACTAAAATCTAATTCATAGATCACATGAACCGAAGAGTATCCCGTCAAATTAAAAGTTTTGTATACGTTTTTTAAACAATTGGTATTTTCGTTGTCAATAAATGTTAATATTCTGATTGGGTTGCAACAAAAAGAAATAGGAGGAATATATTCAAACTAGCTGTATAATAAGATTAATTCACATAAATGTGTGAAAAGTGCATCTTTTAAAAAATATGCCACCTGTGCCACTAATTCGTTTTTAAGTTAAAACTTATGTTTTTTAGAATTGTATTACCTCTCATTTTTCAAGATTATATTTTATTAAAAAAGTTTTATCTACTCGAAGCCACTAAATTTTATGGCTTATATATAAGTTATGTATTAGAGTTGTAAATTGTCAGTATCAAAATAGTTGAAATTTTTGAGACAATTAAATACAATTAATTACCCATATTTTTCTTCCATACTACGTTTTTCATTTTTCTCTTTGGTTTTGTCAAAAGTTGTATGCTGTGGTACGGGAAAATTGGTGTTGTTTTTACTTAGCAAGCAATATTTCTTCCATTAATGAAGATGTAGATATGAAACATGACACTTCCTAGTTTCTTGTCTTTTAGTCTAGAATATATAATTATGCAATAATCATGCAAAATGTGGTTTAGTTATGAACAGGGTTATTAATAACGTGCAAATATTTAATCGATATAATGAATTTAATTGCTCCGATTTTTTTTTAAATTGCTGCTACGTGACACTTAATAAAACGTAACGTAATAAAAAAATAGAAAATACCAAATACTTCTGTGTGTTCACGTTTAGTAGAAATCATCTCTGCCTACTATCCAGTATTGCATTAAACTTAGCTTTTATGTATTTAATCAAGAGACATCCTCTGTTAAATAAAATCAGAGCCAGTTTTACGTGCATTGCTCATTTTTTTTTGTTCTTAAGAATAAAATTTTTGTTGCCACGCATGATGGATATTGCATTTATTGACAAGTTTTCTAATTCTCACTCTAGTAAAAATACCACCTAGAGTCGGTATTCAGCTAATGTATCTTACTATATTTTTATAATGTCAGAATACTCAAGAAGTTCCAATTATCCCCGTAAAGTCATCAATTATCCCGTGCGGTGACGATGGTCTCCACCAACAGCCTCCGTGTCTTCCTCCTTGTCAACCAACCCAGGAATTCTTATGGGGTATTCCTGGATTTCCATGTGGAGCTCCGGAGGTAAGAAGAAAAGAAAACTCAGTTCTTTTCATCACCACGTTTCATCAATCAAATTACTCCAAAACTAGTACCTGCATAGGAAACAAATTATACGATAGAAAATCTGCGAAAAAGGTATTACATATGAAAATCATAAACTTGATCATAGCGCTTTTGGTTTTGCTTTTTACTATTTTTTGAAGAGGCTATTATTTGATATCAAGTGACAAAACAAAATTATTGAATAAGTTTGTAATTTTTTTAAATAATAACCACATACATGGTACGATGAAAATTGACAATTATCGGACGAAAAAATGATGTGTAACCATTTTCCCTAATTACAATTGCTTAAATCATTGTAAAATGTCGTTAAGTAACTTGTCAGTTTCGTATTATGGTGTTAAGGAAACAATAATCTTTTCAAAAAAGTTAAAAAAGAGGGTGGTCTTTAAAAGACAAGCGTCCTCTGCATTTTTTGTGAGAGCATATGTTCTACGATTAAATGTATGTTTTTAAATCCACTTAATACTAATAATAACAATAATAACTTTGTTATCATTTTCGTTAATGTAGATAATTACTTAATCTTAATACTGTAATGATAAAACTCTTCTTTCAACGCTGATGATTTCCAATTCAGCTGTGGGTTTTTTGATAATAATAATAATAATAATAATAAGAATAATAATCACCTTATCATCATTATCATAATTTTATACAAATTATAATGCAAAATTAATACTACATGTCTTTCATGCTGGTTCAATGTCCCTCTCAAATGTTTCCCTTGTTTGATGTTTGTTGTTCGCTCCTGCTGACCAACATTTTCACCTGCTGTAGTTTCCTAGCACACGATTTTTTTCTATATTTATGTCCATTAATGTTGTCCTCTTTCTTTTCTCGGTACATTTTTGTAGAAATTCCAGTAATAACTTCGTTTCGCTTGATTATTTCTCGTCGATTGTTCTGTTTAGTCACTCCTACCTAAAGTAAGCTTTTTTATGTATTTTTACATTACTCAACATTTGGTTTTTCCACCCTTGTACACTTTTTATTTTTTAATCACGTTGTTCTCCTTTACATATTTTATTCAAACTTCTTACGTAAACTTTATAATTAGGGTACCATCATAAATTTCAAAATAACCTAGTCCCTGACTAATTTTAAGTTAATCAAACATTTCCCTCATTTTCTCTATTTCAGTCACAATCATTGTCATTATCATCCATAACCATCAATATCCAAACTTTTCCCCTTCCGAGAATTATCTTCGTTCTACCTACTAAATTTTTTCCTAATATAACCGTTGCTTGTATACAAGCTGTGTCAATCAAAATTGTTTCAAAACCACAGCCGATAAAAGAAACAAATACACAACGAAATTTGTTTAATAAAAATATTATAAAAATGTTTTGCGGAAAATTAAATTAGCTTTTGTTTCTTAAATGGGAGTACTTTATTGCTTAATAATAATTGTTGATTAAAAAACGATATTAATGTAATGCAAAAAAAATATATGTAATGTTGTTTAAGTCCTGAACAAACACATCATCCTTAAATGATTATTATTTTAAAATTTTAAATGAATCAGTTCTGAATGTATTATGTCTCTGATGTAAATTTTGTGTTCTTAATCAAAAAGGTCATGCTATGATGCCCTTAGATCTACTTTACTTCGCAGATTCTTTATCGTACAATTTGTTTCTTATGTAGGCAGTAGTTTTGAAGTAATTTTGACCAGTTATCGAGTCGAAACACCCTGCGCACAGCGAAGAGACTCGGGTTCGGTCAGTGAACAACTTTCCAGCTTTCTCTCTACAATTTTTTACTAACTCTTTATCGCTCATGGTGAAGATAGGGTTTATAAACCTTTTTCTCCATTCATCTGGAAATCTTTTTCCTTTCCATACTGATTTAACACATTGCCTTAATCTCTACGGTTCTTTTGTTTCGTACTTCTATACATCATTTACAACTGGTCCATCTTTGGGTCTTTTGCTTGTTATAATTTTTATTTATTGTTATAAGCACGGTTGCTCAGTTTTTTCTGGGCGCCTATTATTCTCTTCTTGTTTTCTGTATCTATTAACCATATTTTCTTGCTGTCCTTTCTGTCAACTTCTTCTATTTTTTGTTGTTTTAACGTATTTGTTTTCATTTTTCCTTTTTCCCTCCATTATTTTTTCACTTCTTTTTCCGCCCACGTATCTACATAACTTCAAAAAAATGTTGAAATAGTCGGCTCAACGTTTTTTTGCAGTTTCCTCTTTTTTAAGTTTGATTACTCTCTTAACCCTTCCTCTACTTTCTTGTTCTTATTCTGAGATTCTCCTTTCCACCATCCGTTTGTTTTACCTTTAGTTTTACTTGACTCAAGAGTACACTATGCGAAGTTGCACGATTTTCTTTAAACTTACGAATATTCTAGAACTTTTCAACAATAAAAGCGTATAATTTTTGGGCTCACTAGTTCATTTTGGCAGTTTTCAAAATATAACAGTCATGTAGACAAAGTTTACGGGAAATACTAGTTTATTGTCAATAGTATCAAATTCTAACAGTCGGTTACTTTTTTTTTTCTATGCAGATAATAGTTTAAAGTGAAACAATTGATCAACTTAATGGAACACGTATAATTTACTTTTGTTTTAGGTGCCGCCACCATTTCCTCTGCCTACTGTATCACCCCTAGTCAGCGAATCAACTTCACCCAATCATAGTCGAAGTACCTCACCACACCGAATAGTCACTTTACGATCAACGCCGATGCCACCTCCTCAACCACCCCGGCCGATCGATACTATACCAACGCAGTTACCTATTGACACGCTCTCTTCAAACAATTTTCCATTTCTTCACCCCACTGAAAACGTTAAAATAGCCGACGAAGATGTAAGTTATAACGTTCTAAGATTTTGCTCTTTAACGACTAATTTCTCATACCTTGGTAGGTAGAAAAAAAGTAGTGTAGTTTAGATGGCCAAAATTTTAACTGGGAATTTTGTAGTTTTGCGTTATAGAAATTGGATTTCGTTCTTTTAGTATTGTATGACCAGAAATATTCTGCCGATTCGGCCTCGAGCGTCTATTGACTTTCATTAATTTTTATGACAGTTTAAGCGCCCACCGTTGTAAACTTGTCTACTTACCCCATAAACTTTAAATACGTATAGACTTGCTATCACCTTAAATTCTAGTGTGTTTTGTGGAAGCAGTTGCGTACACAGGAAACGCCGCCATTGCTGGTACTTTTCTGTCAACTCCAAACTCTGACTCTACTTAAACTATAACCGGGACTATCTCAGTTTTCGTTTTCGCGTTTTTTTTTTTTGTGTCAACAGAAGGTGACAATCGGCTGGCAACAGATGATTTAGTTTTTTATTATAAAGCACTGAATTCGTTTATAAACTATCCGATTGGTTATTGTTTCATTGACGGAATAAGTGCAGAAATAAAAACTCTTCTCTTAATATAATATCTACAAAAACTCCAACAAACGGGAATAATTTATAGCTGCCATTACTTGTGATGTTTGTTCAGCAAATCTGGAGGCATTTTCTAATTTCATCAACTTTGAGAAGTATAGGTTTATATTTATTTTATCAATTTGACAATTTTTTTGACGCGACAGAAATAACTAGAGTGAGTCGCATTTTAATAAATTAATAAAATTAATTTTAAGCAAATATTTAAAACTGCGAATGAGGCATTCATCTTGATTAAAAACAGAAATGATAAGAGGAGAAAATATTCGACAAAAATATATTAAACTGATTTTGTTTAAAGGCAATAATAAATATATTTAAAGTCTCTGACTTACCCCGACCTCTGTCTTGAGCGTAGAATCGTACTTGACTTTAACAGGAGTGTTAACGTAAAAATTGTCGAACATAAAGAATACACACTTGCTAGAAATTTATTAAATTTTTATTCACTATCATCACTACTATCATCATCAAAATTAATAATTAATTCCTGTATTAACCGATCTCTATAAAATTTTTCTATATAATAAATTAATAATTATTTTTTGCACATGGTGGTGATGCTGACGACGGAGGAATGAATTTATATTACTCCTATATCAGATAGTGGTGTTATTTCTTTTGAAATTCTACTATTTTTGGTAGTTTTTTAAGTGTAAGTGTGGAAAAATAAAATAAATTTTTCGTGTCCTTTTTTCGAAGAAGTCCTCTTTTTTTCAAAGGCGAAAAACAGAATAAAACACAAGTACGCTTCACACGACAAACGACAAGAACAACATAATTCATGTGCATAACTTCAGGTACTGACTGTATTGTTTAGGCCTTAGTTTCCAATAATGAACTCTTCTGAGAATTAAAGAAACCGAAGGTATCCAGCTAATGGCATACTTACTTAGAAACTTGTAAACACACTTGTCTTGGCAATTGTTAAGCAATGTTCGAGAACAACAACAGCAACATAGGCCTGTAAGCCTGTAAAATTTAAATGTTAAAAACCTGTTTTTTTTTAATAACTGTTTTGCATATTTGTTGTATTGCTAATTACGAATTTGGACATCATTTTTGCTATAGCGTAAGGTATATTAAAAAAAAAACGAAAAAGTAAAATTTAAGAGATGCACATTGTTAAAGAAAAATTAGATATTTATTTTTTATATGTACTTTTATTCAGCTACTAAAAATCTTTGTGAAATCGTTATCGTTTCTCATGACTCATGATGCAATGCACTTCAAATATTATTTCAAACTCTGAAACCCTACTATCGTATTTTTTTGCAAGGTCATAACTAGAGCCAGGGGGTCGAAATTTAAACGCTGCGAATTGACCCCTACTCCGGCAGACCAGTGGCTTGCAGCCGACGTTACGTATCGCGAAGAAAATGTCAGTTGATGATTTTAAAATCCATATTCACGAAATAAGAGTAATAATAATTCTAATAATGTTCTGGAAAGCAAGACGCGTGCAAGGCAAGGCTGAAGCGATCGGCACTGCGGGCCGATAGTGGGGGTAAATAAATTTCGACCGCCCAGCTCTAGCCATAACATATATGGATTTTTTTTTTATTTTTTTTTTATTTTTTTTTTTAACAATATGATGGCAATTCTTAAATATTTTTACAATAATTGGCACTCCAAAAAGTATCACATTCATCTGTTTATTTTAAGATAGGTTTTTCAAACCAAGCCTGTGTAATTAATCAAATACTATTTCAGTTTTTATCACGTGTGTTGTAGAAGCAATTATCAAAGTTCTTTATTTTGCGGATATTCCCCATGACAAAATTTTCATTACGGTCCATCTCGACAAACCCTTTTCCAACCATCTGGACTGGGGTAAGTTTACAAAGGTGTGCGGTTAAGCCGTCATAAAAATTTGAGAAAGTCAATTGACGATTAAGGCCGAATCCGCACAATATTTCTAGTCCTACATTGGCGTTAATCATACGCTCCTTAATTGTAATTGTTATATACAGAAACATTGATCGTGCAAATTCCATTTTTGATACCTTACTGAAAACATATATACAACATGTGGGTCCGATAATTTTCCAAACTAAACATTAATATCGCAAATGTGTTAAAAAAATTTGACTGTTAGCTCTTGAGGTTTTTCTGTGTCCCAGTACTAATAGTGATGCCAATTTACAATACTATTATTATATATTGGATTATCAAGTCTTTTAAACGTTGATTTAAAGGAATCAAGTTTCATTGTTCCTAAACTATTTCGGAGATTACTGTAGTTGTTTCTTGTGATATTTGTCTAGTGAAAATGTGGGGACCACTTAGTTTAACTCTTTTAGGAGACCAACAATGCATTGCTTATGTGTTAAAGTCGGTTTTTTTGGAAAAGTGGAGTTTTTTTTAAATCGAAACTCTTAAACTTTTTGTCAAAATTCCAAATATGTACATATATAAAAAAAAAAACAACTGACTGGAAAGTTTATAGGTATATTCATTTTCAGGACCATTGTTTTGCACTTCCTTGATTTATTAAACTTGTCAAGACAAAATCAGGTGGTAGGATTTCAGTCCTTAAAAAAATACTTAAAAGGAAATTGGCGTTTTCGAAATAGTTAATTTTTATTTTTTATTTATTTTTTTTTTTTAAACACCCTTAAAACACTACCTGATCACGAAAATTACACTGAAATGTTGTGCAAATATCTATGTAGTTTAAGACATATTTGCATTTACGTGGTGTAATTTTGTAGGCAGGCAAGGCTTATTTTTTCATGAAATGTAGGGTTATTAAGGCGCACTTATTTGGTTGGCTATATCATAAACGAAACGTTGTCTGAAGACTAAAACCGCAACGTAATGAATTAAACTAAAATAAATGTGTTTTGGTTTTTGAGTGTTTGTACAAGAAACAAATGTGTAATTTATATAATTCATTTTTCGAGAAACCACAGAGACTTAAACTAGGTAATAGCCATGGATGAAAGACTGCTAATTGTTTCTTGGATATGTCGTTAAAATATATACTATCCATTTGAGTCGGACCATTTGCATTTACATCACTACCAATTTTTGGGTTTACAGCGTAGGGACTAAACTTATTTAGGTGGAATTTGGTGTTTGGGTTATAGATTAAAGGCTTGCTATAAACATAGGCAATAAGTAAACCACAGAAATGAAAAAAAAAAATATAGGGGAGTTTTTTTTTTTCAATTTAAAAAACCATCGATCTAGATTTGCCTATCCGCATTCTCAAATTATTAGTCCAAGTAGGAACCGTAAAATCACAATGTTCATTTCTGATAAGCTGAAACTTTTAAAAAAGCGAGTATATACCGTGACAATACTCAAGCACTAGGGTAAGGGCTTTGCTTTTGGGTATTTTGATGAGATGGTCAGGCGGGGTTCTCTTTCGGACTAAATTCTATATATTTACTTAGCTCACGACATGAAAGCATCTAATTGGTGCCAAATTTTAGAGCTCGTGGATTGGCTAACGAAATCCCAGTTTGATACGTAGGTAACTCAAACAATTTTTTTTGGGACACTGTTCGTGATTGTGATCGAGACGGATAAATTTAATGCTAAATTACAGATTTTTAATTTCTTTATTGTAATAATATCGGATAATCCATTTTTGACAAATGAGCATAAATATTACATTATCAATATTTTTTTATTGTTTTAAAAATAATAGCATAATAATATAAGAAATTATTCATTAAAGTAACTTTGGCTCTGGAAGTAAAAAGAGAATTTGGAGTATATTGTGGTTTATTATTTTTTTGAAAAATATAAGTGTTGCACAAACTCAAGGAAAGATGTATGGTCAGGGTGTTGTAACAAAATGCCGCCCACAGAAATGTTTGAGCTTGTCAGAATTACATATTTTGTAATTATTTTTTTACTAATGTATAAATTTTTAAATTTCAGTTGAACTCTATACCAGAGGAGAAACTGTTAGAAGGGTCGTGGATGCCTCCCCACATAAAAGAGGTGAAGCAGCCCAACGGTATTCGATTCGGCGTCTGTCCTACCAAGAACAACCCGCGACAATTCGTAGAACAGTTCCAGGCATTGAGTATAGACGGCGAAAATTCGTTGCATCGTTCAAACTCGTCCAGCAGCAGCAGCTTAAATCAAACGCCACCGGAAACGCCGGCCGCAACGCCTCACTCGACGCAGGCGTCGCAGTGTCCTGTGCGAGGGGGTGACAAACCGCGCGTGAATGGTATGCCAACATTTGTAACGGCAGGCGGGCCAACGCCGGGTCTGCCCATTTGCGACACGACGTCGCCGCCGCCGCCGCAGCCGCCAACGCAAACCTTCAATAACTGCTCCACTGTGCCTTACACCACTTACTCGCCGTTCACCGCCATACCCAGCAGGTCGATATTCCCTTACACACAGCCATACAGGCCGCCGTTCACCACCCACTTTCCATCCTACCAGACCAACGACAACTCGTATCAGGCCTACACCCTCCCCCTCATGCCATTTATTTATTCCAGTCAGTTCCCGCATAGGAACCCAAACTGCTATAATTGCGGCGCGATGGGCCACTCCGGACAAGACTGCACAGGCCAAAACATCGAGGATATCACTCAGAAAAAGACTTATACGATCGAGTTTGCGGCCCCGCCACTTCCTGACGCTGATAAATGATAGTGTTTTTATGTGTGTAATTGTTTTTGTAGTTATTCTCAACAGTGATTTGGACAGTTACCGTACTGCTTACGAGACAGTGATTTTGTAATATAGGAAGAAAATGTATTATTTGTAAAAATCTCATGCTTCAAGATTTTTTTTGTTGAATCATGGCCTGCAATCATAGCGTCGAACTGATCGTTCGCCGACATGATCTGAACTATACGATGGTGGTACGTGCGATTCTATGCAGATATTGTTGCAGTTATTTTTATCAGTTTATTATACAGTCTCAAATTTTTACGTCCGCTTTTTTGTGGTTTTAAATTTATTAGTACAACTTACAGTAGCGAATTATTTTTCATTTGTAATACATGTGTACTTACTTCATATGGTGAAGTTCCATTTTAGACTTTTTAAATTATTTTATTTAGACATTTGCCACAATATTTATAAGGAACTGAAAATATTTATTAATTTTGTTATTTTTGTTTTGAATTTGTTACTACCTTTTTAAACTATCACTGATTGTCCTAAATATATTGTTCTGTATATTGTCATGATTTTACTGTACATAGTGACTAGTTATTACATAGTTAATATTAAATATTGATATATTTATAATACAATCAGCATCTGACTGAAAGTTTATTTGAAAGTAATTAAAAAAAAATAAAGATTTTCTAACAAGGTTGTTTTTTCTGTATAATTTAAAATCGTCTGCCATTTCTTTTTCTAACGATTGCCCTGGTAAGAGGGCCTAATCCAATATGTTAGAACGCCAACACATTAGTCAACGTAACTAAAGGAGGTGATGCGCACTAGATTAGATTAAAAATTGGATTTCAAGAGGGTTTATATAGGGCTACGCACGTCCTTTCCACACTACGACCAACAAGTCTGATCTGCTGTTGTGAGAGACGCTTCTTCTAGTGTGAACTTAAGACACTTAGCTCCCTTGCAAAGTTAGCTAGCCCCTTAGGAACTGTATCAGTTACCTGAAAGTACGTTAGTTTCGTCCCTCCCAAATGTTGTAGCCTTTTGCGAGATAGGCCATCGCCGCTGTTTCTACAGCAGATCCACACACTCGACACGTCCTAATCTCGGTTTTTCCCATTTTTACGAGATGATTTCGTAGAGGGCCGATCTGTTATTAGTCTTAGCTCATTCTTAATCAAATTGAGAAGCTTTTTAGTCTTTCACATGTTGTTAGCCTGGAACTTTTTCCAGTGGGATTATTTTTCCCTTTTTTCCCACTCATAAATTTCAGAAGTCAAGTGGGCTTTGGTTAGCCCACAGTAGGGTTCTGCACCAATGAAGAGAGCTTTCGCACCTTTTTTAGCAAGGGTGTCCGTTATTTCGTTTCCTTCCATTCCCTCATGTCCTGGCACCCAGCACAGAGTAACGCTATTTTTGCTATAGCCAGTTGGTTGAGACGTTGTTTACAATCCCAGGCCGTTTTAGAAGTACAGGAAGGTGTCGCTAAAGCTCTTAGAGCCTAAAGCCTGGTTGTCCAACATTATATAAATCTTAGTGCTTTTGAGACTCTCTTGTGCGCAGAGATTTATAGCAGAATGTCTGCTTGTAGAATCGTGGGGGTGTTACCTAAAGGTAAGGATTTCCTGCATTTAGGATCATATATCTATATCTTACTTCCTTGCTCCTTTTTTGATCCGTCTGTATACCAAATAAATGAGTACATACTTTGGCAGTTGAGTTAGAAACGGTTTGACCTCATGGTGGCGAATTATCGCCATTTCAACGGTCGCCCCGAAATCAAATTCAACTGGCATCAAATCCAATAGCATGATCATCGATTCCTTTGGAATTTCGTCGAGTATCTTGATGTAACCTACTATATCTCCAGATTTTAGGTATTTTGTTTGTAAAGTCCTTAAAGCGCTCAATACTGCTTCCCTTCTAACAAAAAGGTGTAGACGGAGCAAATCTAGCATTACCTCTAGGGCTGCCGTGGTGGTGGAGTGCATAGTCCCCGTTATGCCAAGACAATCTAGTTTTACACTGTCTGCAATTTAGTTTTTATCCACCATATCATTGATGCATAGGGGACAATAGGTTTAATAACCGTCAAGTATGACCAATAGATCATCTTTGGCTTTAGATCCCATGTCTTACTAAAAAGTTGGCAGGCGACATGTTCACAATGCCGCTGTTGTTTTTGTAAGAATTTTGTTTACGTGAGTATTCCAAGTTAGTCTCTTATCCAGCATTACTCCCAGATATTTGACTTCCTCAGGAAACTGTAATGTTTTTCCCTTTTAATTAATACGATCAAGTCATCTGCATCACGCAAGACGTAGAAGCCGCTAAGCTTAACTATCAGATTGTCAACAACAAGTAACCACAGCAGAGGTCACAAAACTCCGCCTTGACACATCCCTAACGCCAGTTTTTATGATTCGGTCACTTAATATTGATTTAATCCAATTGATTGTTGAGGTTGGACTTCCTTTACGTTAAGCAGTTCTTTCGATGAGTTCCCAGGAGGTATTATCAAATGCATCCTCTACGTCAATGAATATTCCCAGAGTAGCTTTTTTCTCCACATGTCTTTTCAATGTTTTTGATTAAACAATATAAAGCGTTAACTGTGCCTGGTCAATGGACAAACTGATTTCCATGTAGAGCGATCTCCTTGAGAACTCTTTCACTAATGTAGTTGTCAAAAATTTTCTCCACAGTTTTTGGGAGAAAGGAGGTAAGGCTAATGGAGCGGTATGATTTGGCCTGTTCGGGACGTCTTCTTCCCGTTTTGGGAAGCTTAGCTTTAAAAATTGTTTTCAGGCGGAGTACTATAATTTATCTACTGCCCTTTGAGGCACTGCTTGAAAAAATGCATATAGGCCTGGCGATTTAATTCTTTTAACGGTAAAAATATTATCTAATAGGGTTTTGCCTTTTTTAGTAGGGCGTGATGCGACCCCTACGGGCATTATTTCAGCCTGAGTACGAACGTGTTCGTAGGATTTTGATCCAGGGAAGTGAGTTTCTAACAGAACCCTCAAGCTTTCTCCTAGATTTGTTTTGAATGAGGCCTACATCAAAACCCCCTTTGGCAAACTTCCGACAAAGCACGCTCGAAGCTGCTTTTGCATGTTGGAAGTTAATCTAGAGGAATCCCAGTCTAGTCTTCATTGTGACTTTGGTTTGGGTTTTTTAAGGACGCTCTCCTTCCCCGTTTTCTTAGGCACCTGTTTTCCTTTAGAATTTGCCTTGGGTTGTGCCGTGGTTTTTGAAGCTTTGGGCTTAGGGTTTTGGGTAGTTTTCACCGGCTTTAACTTTTCGCTTTTGGTCTTGTCAGCAGATGATGCTGGAGTCTGAGACTCTGGAGGTCCCTGCTGTGGTTGCAGGTTGTCTAGTTGCCTCCACTTCCTGAGCCTTCTTGGCTTTGCGTCTACTCGGCCTTAGTTGAACTTTGCCGAACCTGTAGTTTACAAAATGGTCGATCCTTTTCAGCTTTTCTGTTGACTGGGGGTCAGCAGAAAAAGTAAGCTCGAGTGCTCAATGAGTTTCAGGATTCTCTCATTTGAGTAGTCCTGACTGCCGGGTATGGTTATTAGGATTTCAATGTGAGACATTTCTGCCACCTCCATCACCTTGAGTGATGCCCCGTCCCAGGGTTTAATATGACCCCCTCTGCCTCTTAGCCACTGTGCAGTGGTTTGGTCGTCAGAGATTAAGGACAGCCACCCTAGTCTGTGGTTTGTGCTTAGAAAAAAGAGCTTTACTTCAGCTCCTTTTTCCAGCTCCACCATCTTGTCCACGATCGACGCTTGTACCCTGTACGGCCTTGAGTTGGTCCATTGGCAGAAGCTTTTGTGGAAAGTCATTTGGTATGATTCCTATCCTTATGCCAGAGGGATTAGCCTCTGGCTTTTTTACCTTTTTTGTTTCATAGCTGTCAGGAGTATCACCTTCATCCTTCAGATTGGACCCTTTTGGATCTTTTACTGGAGATTTCGTTCTTGAGTTCTTTAGGGATCGGCTGTTTTGCCTTCTCTAGCGCCTCTTCTTTGGAGGCCCCCTTGCTGAGAAGGTATTTCGACCTTTTCCTAATAGCAGGGCTACGTAGTCGAGGCCTCTGGTCTTTTAACTTAAGAGCCTTGAGGGCTTTGTTGACGTCTTCGTCGATGCTTTAACATATTATTCACTGTTGTAGGTATAGTGCGGATTAACTGAATGAGTAGTTAGGGAAAGAAAGTCACCCAATAGCAGAGCTCCGCATGCTATAGGAAGTTTTTTTTTTAATATTTCTATATTTTATAGAAATTAGTATCTTAATCAAACCAAATAAGGATAACTTTGTAGGATTGTATATATTTTCTTTCTTTAATTATAAATCAAAAAATCAACACTACAGACGGATGAAGTAGCATTTTTTCTATAACATAAAAAAATTATTGCAAACCAATGCATGTTTGGCTTTATTTTAACAGAAGTACAAACATCACTTTCGAGCGAAATATTTGCCAGTGCGGATCCCTCTTAAACACGATGCGCCAGGTTCCTGCAAGTCCGCATATTAGTGACCAATCTTACCCCAAATAGTGTTGTTAAATTGACTGCAGTTTGTAATCCAGCTGCAGTTGCGGTGAAAAATATCTGAAGCCAAGGCCACCATGGGGGGTTATGCAATTTTCAGTCAAGTGGGATCACAATTTCAACTTGCTATCACCCTGATTTTCGATATCAAAGAACTTTTTTATGTAATCAACTAATCACCTTTGACGACATTTGAGATTAAAGCTTCACCGGTAGTAGTCGTCTGTGACAAAGTTATTATAAGTATTTCCATTTTTTGCTATATGGTATTTTGCCAGTTTTTATCAAGTGACGTATATCAGCAAAAACATTTGTATTTATCCCACTTTCAACTTCGAAAGAGATTCTTCTTTCTGTTCGGTTCACACAAATATTCAGTGGACCCACATGGTTTTATTATTTGATCCCTTGTTCAAAGTTAAAGCACGTATATGTAAATAAACCTACACTGGTGACGGCAGTTATTGCTGGGCAAATGAACTCTTTTACTAGCAGTTCTGAAGTAAAAGGACCAGTAAATTCCTAAAATTTGCTTCCAGTTGGTATTTAATCCACGTAACAATACCTCATCATCTAATGTTACATTTCCTACAAACAAGGAAGCGTATTTGTCAAAATTTGCCCTATTCGAAATGTTCATTGCATCCATCATAATTTGACAATCCCTTTCGTTTCTTGATAGAACAGAAACAATATACAGTAAACTCTACTATGACGTCATAGGCGTCTAAACAGTTTGCACATTTTTTAACGATTTCTATGTTCTAATGGAATGTGACCATGAACTACAACAGACTAGAGAGGGTGAGTTTCATTTTGATGTTTCTATCAATAATATCTTTAACATTTTAAATTATTTAAAATTTAAACTGTAATGATCTAGATAAAGCTGATGAAAACAGTTAAAGGATATAGGAATATAATTTAAAAAACTGTAATTTTCAAAGGTAGAACTTCACTATAACTTTAATCAAATTTTAACCTAATTTTTGAGTAGATTCGATATCACCGAATTTCCTATGTGTCTCCATGTGTGAACCAGAGGGTATTATAATCTCCTTCAATTTCTATTTTATACGTCTCGGTTATATGCAACTTTTGTCTAGGTTACCTCCGTTTCTGCTTGTTCAATATATGTTTTGTACACAGGTATTTAAAAATGTATTTATTTAATAAATCATGAACCTATTTAGTAAAAAACATCTAAACAGAAACGATCCACATAGCACATTTGATAACAATATGCCAATCGTGATTTTTATGAAATTACCCTAACCGGCAAAAACCGATCATCCTGAAATACCTATTTCGCAAAACCGCTTTAATTAAAAATTATTAATTAAACTACAGTGATGGTTATTCTATTAAAGAACCATTCATTATTGTTGACGCAGGATGTACAAGTTGGCTAAAAAAGAGCCAAATAAATACAGAATTAAATTTAATCTAATAAGAAAGTAACAAAACTAGTGCAAATACGATATTTTCTTAATTAAAATAAAAGCATTTTTAATGGACTTCCTGATAATTATTAATAGCGTGTATGTCTTCATCGAGCTTGAATTACTTACATCATTCAACCGTCGTATCGTGGTTCCTATTGAGTTTAGTAAATTGGATTTTGTTTACTCAAATTTGAGATATTGCTTCAAATTCTTCCTGAAGGACCAACTGTAGCTGTTAAAGAGTCGCTGGACACAACTGCTGAAGCGCGACGAATACATCTGTGGAGTCGATCCCACAAACATTCAATAGAACCAACATCCAGGCTTCCGGCTGGACAATCAAGCCTTCGAATGCCAATCTCACCCAAAAATTTAGTCACAATTCGTGTAGCATGTAGTCTGGGGTTGTCCAGGCCATCTTCAATAAAATGAGACAATGGGACGACGGCTTCTTGAAGAATATCTTCAACATATCGTTTTTATTATATACCTTCATAAAATATTTTTTAATATTAGTAATATTCTTTTTAATATCTAAGTATTTCAAAATTTAGAATTAAAAATCGTACTTTTAATTTATGAGCTACAACTTTGCTTGGTTTTTTCACATCAGTCGCAATACGATTCTAATTAAATGTCAACAAAAGTTACAAATAGAAATGCTATTTAGTATTTACTAAAACTGGTTGGAACCAGTGAATTATTATTTATCTTTTGCCTCATTTTAGAATTTCCTTGCCCCGCAAAACTGGTCGTATCAACCTATTAGGGATTGCAATTAACTGATGGCATCAAACAGGGGAATCCATGAAATAAATTACACTGATGAAATGCGGGAAATTAAAAATGAAAATTTTAACCGTGAAATTTGAAATAATTAATCTAAATTCGCAGACAGACAAAACGAAGCAAGCACACTTATTCCGAGGGGCACTTTTAGAACAGGGATCGAATAAACGCCCCAAAACCCCAAACACTATTGAACGTTGGTGTCATTATCGCATATTTTTAGCCGTTCTTTACGTCGTGTTTGCGATTACTAATAACATTTTACGTTTACGTACGTGTTGGCTAACCTGCTATGTAGTACGTCATCATTTTTTTGACACAACACCACGCCTGTCACTGTCACCTGTCGGAGAACATTGTTACTTGAAAGTTTTCTAATAAATCGTCAATAAATACGTGTAAATGTGAGTACCTTATTACTTTGCCAATAAAAATTCCACCTGTGTTCACTAACTGTTAAAATACACCGTTTTTTATAAATCGTCCACGCTTATAATGCCTATAAACTTTCAATAAGGTTTTGAACAGTGAAAAATGTTTGCATCTTTAAAAAATAAAATCCGTGAAGAAACTGGCAGCGATTTATCAAAATTAACAGCAAAGATAACATCATCTACAGTCCAAAGAATTGATTCATTACGGGGGCGTTCTCATCAAGGCTCGTCATCAAGTATTAACTCTATTGTATCATCAGATGGTGTTAAAGAAGACGGCACAATTGAACCAGAAGAATTGAAAAAGCGTTTACTAAAGATCGAAGCAGAGTTTGTCAAGAAATTGGATCAGAAGGAGTTAGAGTGGAGGGAAATATTAGCTGAAAAGGATAAACGATTACAAAGTTTGGAAAAGGAAAAGGATGAAGCCCTGAAACAAGTCCATGTATTAAGAGAAACATTAAAGAATGCAGAAGGTTTGTCTCGTTTTTTGTAAACATATGTTGTCTCTTAACATCGTGTTTTTAAACAGAATATAAACAAAGGCTAGTGGAACATCAAGAGGATAAAGAACAGATGGAAAATCTTCAAACTCAGGAATTAAGTAAAGTAAAACATTTAGTTTTATTACGTGATCAAGAGTTAGCTGAAAAAACAACATCCTTAAAAGATGCTAATTTGCACCTAGAAAAACTAAGAAATGAAGTTTCTAGACTAAGACGACAGGAAGAACAGTTGAGTGATTTACAGGTAATAAAACGCGATCATTTTGTAGTGCTTATTCATGTACACTCTGGAAATTGAACACAAAGAAAAGGACTGGCAGTGTGATTTAAATTTTGACTGATTATAAATTAGTTCACAAATTTTAAGTCACCTTTAAGCTGGTATTTTTCATTGTTTGATACATAAGTGCGCTGAATGAAATTTGAAAATTATCCTGTTACCACAACTATTGATTAGTAATCTCATTGTGGTTGTTTATTTAATTCGTGTTTTGAAATTTATTGTACAGATTTTATGTTGAAGTGTTTATTTTCTGTTATTGAGGGAGTTTGCACTTGTTTTATTATTTTATTTGGTGAGCTTGGAGCAATCACAGGTATGTGCTTTTGGCTTTTATGTTATATTTCTTTCATTATAATTTATTTTTCACCTCTGCTTTTAAATTTTAGGATGATTTAGAATCTCTAAGACATTCCAGCTCAAGAGATTTGGCTGCTTTGGCCACAGAATTGGCAAAAAGTGAAGAAGAGAGGCGACATTTATCTGATTTGGTTGTCGTTTTAAGGCAAAGAGTAGCAAATGAAACTTCAGATGATGAACATATCACATCAGAAAGACGCCTTTTGGAGCAAAGACTTGAAGAAGCTCATTTACATTTAGCTGACATCAAAACTTCATGGAGTGATAAAATCGCCTCTTTAGAAACTCAGGTAGTGACATAATTTATATTGAATTGTTAAAGTTTCTGTTTTATTATTTTTTAATATTCAGGTGGGTCGTTTAAGTCGACAAGCAGCTGAAGAGGGAACTGAAAGGCGAAGGGCTGTCCAAGAAAAGGAGAAACTTGAAGAAAAAGTTAGACAAATGGAAGCTGAATTGGAATGTAATAGATTAGACTTAAATAATAAAGAAACAAAAATTAAGAGGTTGACAATGGATGTTGAAGAACTGTCCATTGAAATAAAAGCTCTCCGATCTGAAAGTGAAGAGGAAGTTACATTCCTCAGGACGCAACTTGTGAGTTACAATAAGTAAATCCAAGTGGGGACGCTTTTTATTTCCTTCACCAATTATAATTTTGCCAGTATTTATTTATATATATATTTTTTTCTTGTATTTTATCAGTATTATTTAATCATGTGTATTTTACATTTCTATTTACCCCATGGGCGTACTATTTTTAACAGCCACATATTTTTTAACACTGCTTTTGGGTTATATATATGTACTTCTATCTTTGCAACTATTCATATTATGTTTTTTAGTTTCTTTACTTTGTTACACAATAAACACTTTCCATAGTATTTTGATTTTTTAATGCTTAATGTTATCCTTTTATATGATGTTTAAGAAAATCCACATCCTGTTTCCATATTATGTTACCACTATGTGCACTAATGTTAATAGTTGGTACATTTTTTTTTTAGCAAGACGCTGTTACAGAAGTGAAGGTGGTACGGAAAAATTTAGAAAATACTGAAAGTGAATTAGATAAAACAGGAGAAGAGTGCAGTAAGTTGAAATTATCAGTTGATTCTGAACATGAAGCAAACAGTTCACTGCGACAGTTAATAACGAAATTGGAAAAAGAACTAGGCGAAGAAAAGACAAATTCACTAAATGTACAGAAAACGTTGTCAAGGTGATTTGTGAGTTTCACCTGCAAATTATAATGCTTAATTTGTTTATTTTATAGGGTGACCGCTGAAAAAAACACAGCACTTCTACGGAATGCGGAAATATCCCAGCAGATGGAGCTAGTGAAACAAGAAAAAAGACGCCAAGAGAGTGAGATGACTGATCTTCTTAATAAAGTTGTTCAGCTTGAAGACGAAAATAAAAAACATATTGAAGTGAAAGTGTTAGAGCAAGAATTAAGAAACAGTGTAACAGAACTAGAAGAGCAGCTTTCAGAGAAAAATAAGGTAATTACCGTAAAACTGTATTTTTTATGTATTCGCTATGATTTTTGTAGAATATTAAAACGCTCCAGTTGCGGTTAGCTGACATGAAAAAGACGTTACAGCAAGAATTACGAACGCCAGGTAATCCCAATTATCATAGTGACTTATTGGATAATTCAGCAGCTATTCTCACTCCCAGTCAAGTGTTGACAAAAGGTTTTCCTAGTGTGGTGAGACGTGATGAAGATGATGTTAATTTTAAATATTTAAAACATGTAGTTATTAAATTTTTGACAAGTAGGGAATATGAAGCTCAACATTTAACCAAAGCAATAGCAACCTTACTTAAATTCACAGCTGATGAAGAGAAATTAGTTAATGATACATTGGAATGGAAAAGATCATGGTTTGGTAGTAGGCCAAAACTAGGAAGTGGCCAAAAAGCCAGAGCTATTCCACATAGCTGATGGTTGCTTTAATTTTCTTTTCTATGCTTATGTGATATGACATTATAAACTAAATTGACCATTCCAGTGGTATATGCAGGAACACAAGGCTTTTTTTATTTTTGGATATGTAAATCTTCCATTTTTGTTTAGAGGATCGAGTTTGCACTGGCTTTTTCATTTTACTGAATTGATTTATCTACAGAGGTATAGTTATTATAATTTTTGACAAACTGTTAGACAAAGTATTAAATAAAAGCAAATGCCCAGTTTAGAATATAGTTGTACAAAAGTGTAAATAAATCAGACAACTTTTGTTGTAAAACTAAAGTATGGATGCTTTGTAATAATTAATGCCTGTATTTATTTCTGAAATTTAAATATAAAAAATATTTTAAAGACTGAATAATTTGAAGTTTCATTCTTTCGTGTGTTTTGATACAATAGTCATGCACCTTAGACTCTGTTTTTAAATGATCGCAGTGCCTTTTTTTAAGTTTAAATTTCTTTACTAAAAAGAATCTGTTATGTACTGATGGATAAACTGTATGGGAGATGATTGAATTAATTTGCAAAAAAAATCTTTTGATATACATAAATGTTTATGAAGAGTTGGATAGTTGTAGTTGGAGCGACCAGCGCGCAAGACCTCCGTGGATGTTGTCAGTAACTAAGTCAATATTTAAGAGTCATCAACAGTTAAAAATCTTAACATGAACGCCAAAATTTCACAACATTCCAAATTAACTGATATTTTACTAATTACTAGGGATGTACCGACTAGTGGCCGACCGGTCGGATAAGCCGACTATTCGGCCGTTTTTCATCGTCGGCTGCAGTCGGCGACTAGTCGGCTAAACAGCCGGTCGGTCGGCTTTTTTTATTAAAATTAAAATAGTATATAAAAAAATTAAACCCGGTTTACAGAACCTCAATTAAATATTTAATTGCGATTTAATTTTTAACCCTGCGTTAAAGTACCATGTGACCGACTCTACGCCAATCAGACGTCGCTAATGGCCTTGTTAAATGAGCGATCAACTTAATCTCAGTTTAAATATTGTATAAACTGGCCCTAAATTGTGTTATTCTTTATTTTTGTACTGAGTTACTAAAAAAAATCAAATGTTAAAATTATCCAAACAAATTTAACACATTTTTTGGAAAACAAAGGAAATCTTTAAGGTAGTCAGAGAAATAGAAAAAAAAACACACTGTTTGTCGCATTTATAAACCGGTTTTAGCAAAGCCGAACAGTCGGCCGACTAGTCGGTTTTTACTGGCCGAACAATCGGCTAGTCGGTTAGTCGGCCAGACCTACAGTCGGTACATCTCTACTAATTACACTCCTTGAGGGGGATAGTGGCGTCGAATGTGATTCATTTTTGATTAAATAGTCCCTTTTGATGAAATTACAAAAAAAAAACTACGTAACAATTTTAACACGTAGTTACGATATTAAAAGAAGAAGTGAGGTCAAGGGTACAATCATTATACTACCGTAGTAAGGTCTGCGTATGTTTATTCCCACCGGCCGCCATTTTAAAGGCCCCTGATGTTATTATATAATAATAACATACTTATTTCCAAGTCCTACTGTGACGTCATAGAATTGGCTGATAATATAAAATACTAATTTTCAGATGGGCTTGGGTTATAAATATAAAATGCATAATGAATACAATAAATAGTCAATAAACTTGTGCATTTAAATTGAAATTTTGATCTAATTTGCTAATTCTACCATGAGTACAAGGCATTTTTTGTTAATGTTTTTGTATTTACTACATCCGGCATTTTATAAATATAAAAAAAAATATAAGCAAGTTAACTCGTTACCGCATAATTTTTTTTTTTTAATTTTGTAAAATAAATATATATTTCAATGTCCCTGATCTTACAAATGTAAAAATATAAAAACATAATTGGGCCATATTTACCTACTGGAGGTAGGATGACAGGAGGGAGCATGACTTATTTAACTAATGTTAAAAAAATGCCGGCAAAAGAGCTGTACGCAAAAGCCACTTATGACCCTTTCTGTACTATATCGGGAGCGGTCGCTTATCAACATCAAAATTTGAAAAGTGGCCATGAACGGTGATCGTCAACAAAATGACACCATGCGTTGTGTTTTGAAATTGCGGAATGCGTTCTATTGCAAGTAGTGGATCGCAAAGGTAGAAAGTAACTTTGAATTTACAACATATAAATATGGCGTGAATAATTTTATTAATCTCTTTCAAAAGGCTGTATTTTCTCAACTATCAAATTTTCTTGTTCTTTTCATATGTAAGATTACAAATTTCGATCACATACGCACAGTTTGTTAAATGCACACAATTCTGTAACATCTTATCTAAGGTGAATGGATGGCAAACTTCACATTATTTTGGTTACGTGTTGGCAGATTTTTTTTTTTTAATTGGCAGTCCGAAAGAAAAGAACACGATTTAATTCACCAATTTCAAGAACGTGGAACGAGTAGAGCCAATGTTCCAGACCCTGCCTTTATCTTTTCGCACTCACCACATGTACAATCATGCCGCGGTGCCCCCGTAAGCGTCCGCTGTACCTATCGTGTCCGCTGACAGCAGCAGCAGCAGCAGCTTCAAGTTTTATTCCGCAACTATTTACTCCAGCCCACTGGCTACCCCCAGCGGAGTTTCCTCTCCCAGCAGGACTATCTCACGTTGAAAATTATCACTCTGGACTTCGGCCAAGTTCCGCTTTCGCCACCCGAATTTAATAAATTAAAATGAATGAATTAAGACTACGCATGAATTGAATTCCCTCATCACATATATACATAAAAGATATGTTAAATTTAGTCGAGAACACACGTCGCTTTGAGAGGCGTGTCCGAGTATAAACGTTCCAAAATTGAAGTCGCCGAACACATAAAACATTACAGAAAATCAGCATAAAATCACCTCTTCAAATTCACGATGACATTTATTTCACTGCTATTCTAATTTTCAAAGAGAATCAATGCTTAAGATTAAATTGTGAATACTGCCAATTACTACATATTTATTTTTACTACTGGCGGTGATGGGACAGTCACCATTATACAGGGCCGTATTTATATTTTGTATTTGGTTACTGGTTGAGAGGTTTACGGGCGCATACAGCCCTGTGTAGTGTAGACAGTGGTCCCTTGATGGTTTATGAGCGCTGGATTACTTGCGGCAGAGGTCTATTCTGGTACACTTAACTCCTTCACAATAGGATGCAGTCATAAAAACGAACCAGCAGTTGGAACACTATAATTGATACTGCAGTATCATAAAACCGAATTAGGTCTGTGCGAAGTATACTTACGTATTTCATTTGAATAAAGTTGCTTATTTCTTCGGTGGCATACAAGAAAAATAAAATGTATAATTTCGAGATTGCGTGAAATAAAATAACAATTTTCATGACTGTTAAATTGTATTACAACCTAACATGACGGTGAATTTACAATCAATCAACAAATTCACGCCACGTGGTCAAAAAATCCCACATTTCCGATTAGGAAGATGTTAATAATCAATTACGCCTGTAAGAAAAACTGTGGCATCGCTGTCGGCAAGATTAAGTTTCGTTTAAATCAAACAAAGGCTATTTTATGAAACTACCAAATCAAACTAAACTTGACCTAGGTAACCTTAATGCTTACCGCGTGGTTGCACCTACACCAGACCAGACAAACAAGTGACGCATCTCAATCAAACAAGTCTGCTTTATTATTAACCCTCTCACCAACTTACTGTCCACAAATTCCCTAAGCGAGCTACTAAACTACCAGCAAGAAACTAAACATGGTTGCCTATGTTTAACGATTATCTTATTCATTTTTCAAATGCGATTATGTGCCGTTGTTTTTGCTTTTAATTCAAACTTGGACATCACACCACGCGTTGGGTCATTGTGAAAATTATTATCTGTTAAATTCATATCGTGCACTCGAAAAACGGGACAGCTTTTATTACAGATTCAGTAGTTGGTTTCAAGTCTAATCTCGAAGCACGCGAGCGTTATCGAGACCATCCTCTCGCAGTTACCGCTCTAGGGCGAAAAGTTTGCGGAGACCACCTTATTTTGATTGTATATATTTCATGTGTTTTGTCTGTATGGGGTTTCATCAGTTAGATTTAGTCCTTGACTTGAATTAACTTAAAATCATGGAAATTATTGTTGTTTGAAATCTTGCTACAATGGGGCGTAACGAAGATTTGTTGCGTTGCAGTTTCAATATCTGGTTGACCAAGCCATGGTAGAAGGAGATGAAGTTCATCGGTCAACTGCGGCAACGTTAGTAGCGGAGATTTTGACGAAAGTTGTCTCGTAAACCTTTTTATTTTGTTTCGCCTGGGGGTAGATCCCTACTTCTTTTCATGGTACAATAAGACTTCTTGTACCATGCTTCTTCGTGGAACTAGTTCGCGACGAAGTGAATGATGCGGTGAATTGTGTAACAGCCTTGCACCGCAAGGATGAGTGTTTTGTAGCTCGTGAATCTCGTAATACAACGTAATGCTAAAAACTGGGGAGAGCTCGATCATTTTAGATTAGAGAGCCATCGATTCGTAATTATGATTTAAATTTGTCGTCACACTGTGGTGACCGAATTTAAATCAAAGTTTTCGCGCTGAAATTAATTAACAGCGGCGCGAAATCACATTTGAATAATTTGAATTTGAAAAAAAAAAATTCAATCACGAAAAGGGAATCGTTAAACATAGGCAACCAAATAGACATGTCGGGTTAATGCATGATCATTGAGTTAGATGGCAGCACGTAGCGCTAGGGTGATTTCAGTTAGAGGGTTGGTAGAGGGAAACTGCATGGCGTAGAATGATTATTATGAATGTGCTTGTGTGAGTGTAACCACGTGGTAAGCGCTAGGTTGAAATTAGTTGGTTTGGTAGTTAATAAAACGGGAAGAAGCCTTTGTTTAACGACGATCAAACGTATTCTTGTACCCAACCCGCGCGGTTAATTCTTGCGCCCTTTCAATCAGAGAAATGCTGACTTCCGGTCGAACGCTAACACGTGCCGTAAATTTTGTTTCGTTGTTTGTAAATTCACCAATCAAGCTAGTTTTTCTTAATACTCAGCTAGAGCAAACACAATTTAACAATCAGGATTATTTAAATAAACCATTTGCTAGAAGATTTCATGAAATTCACTTATTAGTCAGGAAAAACGCCTTATGTTTAATTACGAATAGGTCTCTGGATGCATATACGTAAGTGTTACATTATAACACTTCTAAATTCTTCACACAAGATTGCTAATAGTTCATTTACGGCAGTTAAACAAGTTCATTATACTGCGAACTGGCGGGGGCGGGGGGGGGGGGGTTATGATATTTTCTTCCCTTAGGTGGTTATCATCGTTATCATGATTAATTCATCGGGGCATGCTTCACAACGCCAGATTGATTAATTAATCAAGGCATGCCCCCCAACGCTACAGAAAATTTGCATCACCGAGACGCTTTTTCCTCGCAACGATTTTAAAATTTACATCACCAAGACGCTTTTTCCTCGCAACGATTTTAAAATTTACATCACCGAGACGCTTTTTCCCTCAGAGCGATGATTGGATATTTTTGTGTTTGTTTATTATGTGTTTTGTTGGGGTAACCAGTTCGCGGTATTTTAAACTCTCAAAGTAAATTATTTTTGAAGTGACCAATCACTTAGATCATGATATAATTTGGCATAATGTAAACTCTTTGTTTGAACCGTTGATAAAGTGTGGCAAAAATTAATCTCATGTAAATTTTGTTAACTCTGCAATTTTCACCTCGTACTATATTTCTTAATCTCACAATCTTAACCTCAGTAATTTTATTTGTTGTGTGATTTTAATTGAACGTAAATTTCATATTCGACAGTTTTAACCTCACATAATATTTCTATTTGTACAAGTTTATTTCACACCAGATCTTTTGTTTCATAAATCTGCTGAATTCTGTTTTGTAAATACTTTGTTGATGAATGTTTCTGTCATATAAATTATTTGATGCCCAACTTTAATCTCACATAAGAATTATTTGTTGTTTAAAATTTCACAAGATTGTATGGCGAATCTAAACGTTGTTTATTGCTCTTTGAAACTTTAACCCTTGTTCAGTTGTTGTTAACATCAGAGTTATGGGAGATTGAATATTTAAAATGGAATTGAGGTTAAATGACACAGAAAATGTGGCTGAAGCCTGAAGCCATGGTAGAAGGAGACATGGTATAGGCATCCGATGTACCAATTTAAAAATGGTCTGCGCATCCATTTGTGACGTTAGGTGGCATCAACGACCTTGTGACTCTTGTGAGCTTCGCCTGTGGCTTCGCTAGGGAAGTCTAGGGAATTTCAGCTTGAGTTGTCATTGCTCTGTCCAATACGTCAATTAGTTGTCGGATAACGAATTGTATTTTGAATTTCGCGCTAATTTCACTCCACTTGACGTCACACCCGATGCGTATGCCTATACCATGTCTCCTTCTACCATGGCTGAAGCGAAGTCCGGTTCCTGGTCGAGCTGGCGAGATTTCTCGTGCCACCTGTACAAGTCCACAGGTTTCGATAGATTCAGGGGCGGCCGCCGATGTAAATTTCTCGATTTGGCCCAATAGTCGAGATCTCTTGCGGGTTGGACGACCGTAATGGCCTAGTTCCGCAGGGCACGTTCGTAATGGAGATATGCGTGTGGGATAGGCTTTGCGATAGATAGAATCACCGTCGTGGGGGGAGAACAGCTCCAGACCGGTAGCCCAGACTCCGCTCATGCTCCAACGCAAGGGGTACTTTTGTCAGGGCTATGAAAGTCTCAGCTGATTCCATAAGAAATACCATGGCCGACTTCATTAATATACACTAACGTGTATATACGGCCGTTTCAATTTCTTAAAAATTTGTTCCCGCGTAGTAATCCATGGGTACATAAGCATACGCCACCCACGGCAATGTCTTGAACTAAACTGTCACTACTGTCAGAAATTTTCTTTGACAATTTTCAAATCCAAAATAATTTTGGGCATGAATTATTATCGTTGTTAATAAAACTAGGTCTTTATAATATGGGAAGAAAGTGTATGATTTGTGGTAATACACAGAATCCACTTTTTGGAATTCCTGCGGAAGTAGATCTTAGAAACAAATGGTTTGAATCACTTTCAAAATTTTGTGGTATTTCATAAAACAAGTTCCTCAAAAAATATTTTATTCGAATTATTTTAGATCTGACCAAGATAAACGATCATACTGTTGTGTGTTCCAAACATTTTGCAACAGAATGTATTGTTAGAAGCGCAAAAAGTACTCGTCTTAATAAACAAGCGGTTCCGTTTATATTCGTATGTACATAAAAATCTACGTACCTCACATAATCTATAAATCTTTGTCATCATTCCAGAATCCTACTGATCCTGACATTTCTAGTACCCAACCAACAAATCCTTTTTTAGAAGACACTCATCCAACTTCCGTTTCCTCATTCCAAAATGCTAATAAGGAAACTAATGTTTCCACATGTGATGATTTAAGTGCGAAGGATAAACAAGAACTTAAAGATCTCAGGTACCACAACAAAGTTTTAAAGCAACAATTGAGTAGAATGAAACGAAAGAATTCTGAATGTTTATCAAAAATGAGAGAGTTAGAAGAAAAAGTAAAAAATTTGGATGCTTTAAAAATAACCAAAATTATAGAAGACGCAAACAACGCAGATGAAAAGTCAATATTTCTTTTGGACTTGATAAAAAATCACTATAAAAAAATACCTAGGTGGTCAGAAATGTCTCTTCGTCTGTGTACTGTCTGGAGATTTTGTTCGCCGAAAGGTTACAGATTTTGCCACAATAACTTACTAAAACTGCCTTCAAAATCGACTATATCCAGATTCCTTGGAGACTTTCATGGTCAAAATAAGCTGATCCAAGAGCGATTGTGTGCAGAAATTGGTCAATTAAAAAAGCCAGTTGAAAGGATCTGCTCCTTAATAATGGACGACATGTCCATAAAAGAAAAAGTTCATTACTGTAGGGCAGAAGATCGAATTTATGGCTTAGAGACAACAAGTTCTACTCGTGTTGGAACTAAGCCAAAAGTAGCCAACAAGATGCTTTGTTTTGTGGTGCAGGGATTGAGTACTAGATATACAATACCAGCAGGGTATTTTTTCCACTCGTCGTTAACAACTCAGGAATTATATTTATTAACAAAAAACATTTTACAACTTCTGACAAACTGCGGCTACATTGTGATTAGATTTGTTACAGACAATATTTCAACAAATGTCGCCCTCTTTAAAAAATTTGGAAACGGATCACTGAAAAATTCCATTAATCATCCCATTCTGGAACATATTCCACTATTTTTGAGTTTCGATTTCTGCCATGCTCTAAAAAATGCACGAAATTTGTTTTTAGACCATGATATGTATTCTTCTCAAGGCAAAATTTCATCATGTTACCTCAAATTATTGTATGATTTGCAGAAGGGAATGCCAGTAAAGCCTGTCAGATATTTAACAAAGAAGCATCTATTTCCATCAAACTTTGAAAAAATGAATGTCCTAAGAGCAATCCAAGTTTTTTCACCTACTGTAACCTCTTCTTTAAAATTTCTAAAAGCTGCAGGGGACGATCGTTTTGTAGACGCTGATGCCTCTATATTCTATATGGAAAACATGTACCATTTTTTTCAGGTGCATAATGTTTCAAGCAGAGATCACTATCTTCGTTCACTAGATAGCAGTATTGCACCATATGTGCATATTTCAGATGAACGTCTTGACTGGTTAAATCTCACATTTCCAAAGTATATTGACGATATCCAGAAGACTTCTGTAGATGTTGGATTTAAAGGTCTTACTAAGGAAACAGCTCATGCGTTACAATTCACGGCAAAAAGCATATACCTCTGTGTAAATTTTTTGCTAAGCCAGGTTGGCTTCTATTATGTTGTAACGCGATCCTTCAGCTCAGACGCAGTAGAGGCCATGTTTTCACATGTAAGACTGAAAGGTGGTTCTAATGATGCCACAGATGCCAGAGCTGCAGATTATGCATTAAGGCAAATTCTTCGTTGTGGGATTGTTAAAGCTTCCCATTCCTCAAACACTGCTGAAAATGTTAACTATATTAGTCCTGTAAATATTTTAAATTTACAAGAAAACAGAGAGAGCTTTACTAAGCACACAGAACAACTCATATTTCCAATTGAAGTACGAAGAAATATTCACAATCTTAAGAAGTGCATCATACCTGATAATAATATTTTCTCAGCATCAGTAGCTTTCTTGGCAGGATACATAATAAAAAAATTAGAAGATATATTTCATTGTGATGAATGTTTAACACCTCTATTATGTACTAGCATTCCAGGTCCTTTGCTACAATTGATTGCCATTCAAAACCGAGGAGGTTTAGTCTATCCCAAAGATATCTTTGTTGGTATTATTCAGCTGATAGCTGAAAGCATCCAGCAAATGTTGCCATTTCTACAACATGATAATCCTGGTAAATACATACTTGAAGAACTGTATCCACACCTTGTGCAAAATCCCATTTTCGTCTGTGCAAATCACAGGGATTCTGTGTGCAAATATATAATCAAAACGACTGTAAAGCCAGTTCTCAGCAATCTTTGCTTGGAGACCACAGATTCTGTCAAGAGATTTGCATTAAATTTTAAACCTAAAAGTCGAAAAGTATTGAAATTGTAACTTTACGTTAATATTATTGTTTTACTTACTGTGTTTTGTGATAAAATTAAAAAAAAAAACCTTATTATCTGAACCAAACTGCTTTTTTTTATGCTTCGAGTAAAATTTGTTGTCAATGTCAGTTTCAACCATGTTTCAACCAGAGATATGGAGAAGGAGAATGAGCTTCCCCATGCGCAGACGAAATCCTTGGTCTAAAATTGAAAGCAGCCATTTTATCAGTTGACTGTTGCCAACATAATCACAAATCACTAACAGAACTTGATATCCCTAGACAATTGCTTCATTATTGGGCGGGAAGTTTAAAATCATTAATTACAATCACCTAATAATAAATCACAACTAAAATATATTTCACCTTAAACGAATAAATAAACATAATTATACTTCAATATATTTATTGATGCGAAAACAGTACTAATTATGTGTACACATGTCTAACAGAAGTGCCTTGAGCAAGACATGAAAGTCTTTTGCTCAAATGAAACATTCTTATTCGCATGTAGGCATTAATTATTTGTTTAATAAGAATATATAAATGGCCTTCATCGATGGCCACCGTCTCGAGTGCGTGGGTCTTCTAAATTAGGAAAAAGAATGCTGGCATGCCGAAAGTTTTAAAAAATTGTTCATCGCTTGGAAGTTTATCGGTGAGTTGCAAAATTTTTCGTATTAACAGTAACAACAAGTCTTCACAACCCCAGCAAAAGGTTTAATAAGCCCACCTAAAATCAAAATTTTGTTAAGACTTAAAAAATAACTATTGTAAGTATTTGATTTTACCCATGTTTTTTTTGTCCAATAATCTGTAAAAGTGTAAGTCACTTCTTCTTGTTTCAATACAAGAAGAAATGCAGTCTGCGCACTTAAACGTCTTCACCACCATTTTGACAACATAGCTACCAATATATGCCACGTTTTCTGCCACTTCACTCAGCCCAATAAACTTAGACGGTCATAGTCATGATCTGCAAGTGCTTCAGTCAAAATATCAAGATCATATTTTTTCAAGACAAACACGTCAACTGATTGTTGAACATTTGTGCTCTTTTGCTTTGGGCCAGTTTTAACAGAGAGCAGACAGGTGGTGCAAAGCACTTTACAATTTCCTCCTTCCCTCGTTATGTTTGTAAATAGAAGCAATCTTCTAAGTTTTACAAAATCGTAGAGGAGTAGGGTTATTGTTTCACCCATTTCTCGATCTGAAAACAGAAAAATAAATACAGATTTGTGTAATTCCAGTGCATAAAAAAGTAATACAATTGTTTTTTTAAAAGCTTACCGCACTGAGCAGAAGAAAATTTCTAGATGATCTTGACTACATTTATGTTAGCAAGTCATTCAACCTCTTACTACTAACAAATTCATCAAAAATTCCCATGAACGACGTAGCGGAAATAACAAAGCCCAGAATTGACGTTTTTCGGGGCGTGCACCACAAAGGCCCGCCAGTGACATCCTTCAAATTCAGAAGATACTCACTGGTGTCGATGAGAAATGGACGCCACATTTCTTCATTGTTTTCTCTCAAAGGTGCCTTAAAATTCTTAGCACGTACACTTCGGGAATTGAGAATATCAAATAAAGAATCTATCCTTCTGATGAATTCTATTGTTGTTTCACAACCTTGAAAATCACTAATACCAAGATCTTTTAAAAATTCAAGTGCATCCGCAACTCTTGCTAAGAGTTTGTGCTGCTAAACTCACCTATAATAGAACTTAATTATTGTCAATAAGGAATATTGTCAGGAAAACAACTTACTTTCATTTTATGTTTCCATCACTCCAAATGTGCCTTTTTCAACTTGTTTGCAACATTTAGGAATTCATCATTTTGTAATTCATGTAGTTTCTTTATGTAACGCCAGCTTATCACCTTCCCTCCTGTCAGAACTACTTTTTGAGTTCTTGCTTTTACTTCCACTTGTACTGCTACTGCTTTTTCCATGGTATCTCTGCGCAGCACTAAATAATAATTATTAACAGTAGTAAAAAATTCAATATAATAAAATATTCAAACCTTAATGTCCTCTTTACACCTTGAGGTATAATCGATGGAGACTCTTCTCAAATATCAGCTGAAGTAGCACTCACAGTACTCATTGAAGTTGAAGAAGCTTCTAGACTTTCATCTAAATTCACACTGGGAATTGCGTTCGATTTCAATCGTTTTCACTCATTTACAACAATGAAATCAGTTGTTGTGAAATGATCTGAGCACACCAGCTTATACTTAGTCAGTTTGAAGCTGTCATCTTTTTTCACAACAATCAGCCACTTTTTTAAAAGTTTTCGATCTTTCGGAAACCTAAAATCAGATATAATAAATATTGATCACATAGTATTGCAATAACCAATTGTTATTAATTATAACTATCTACGTATTCGATTTTAATAAGATAATGAAGAAAACTTACTGATGAAAAGATACACCTTCTGAACGAAATCGTTGACAATTTTTACAGTGAGAAACTGTACAAGACATGTTTGTTGTCAATAATAATGTCCTTTAACACTAACAAGCACGTTCACACGTACACTAACGGTAAAACAAATTAAGTAATAATTTTAACTCCAAATTACAACTGGTTCAACAACGTCGTAACCTCGTAGGTAAACAAAACTTTAAGGTTAACTGATAAAATGGCGGCCCCCATAGTGTACCGATGCGCAGAAGTCGAAGCTCATTCTCCTTCTCCATATCTCTGGTTTCAACTCGACAATTAATTTGACAGAAATAGCACGAGATCTGTCGTTTGAGGGCGCCACAATATGCACTAGGCGGCGGAACATTTTTTCTAATGGAAAATAAAAAATTGAAACGGCCGTATATACACGTTAGTGTATATTAATGAAGTCGGCCATGGAAATACATGGGGAGCTTACGGAACGACATAAAGAGGTCACTAGCGTCACTAAAGGTGCTCCGACCTTGAAGAACATAGTTTCTTTTTCATTTTAAGGTTTTCGGTGAACGTTTTGTCTGGTTTTGTCAACAAGAAATGTCATGTTATTTACGGAATCATACGGGATGTTGGGTTATGGGGTTAAAAACAAACGTAAAATTTATTTTAACAAAGTAATAGATACTTACGACACAGTCTTACGATACATGTAAAAAATACTAGAAAATTCCAGGCTAAAGAGGTCAACAAACTGCAGGTTAAACGAAATGGTTTAATTTTCGATGTGTGCGTGTTTGAGCAGTCCAAGATTTATTTTTAAATTTTAGTGTGTAAAAAATTCTAACTCTAATAAAAACTGAGACGAGGTAATCAAGAGAAAAGTCTTTGCAGGGGTGGTGGAATGGTATTTTTGTATGGTTGGTTTTTTAGCCGCAAACCAGTTAACGACTACGGTGCATAAATTGGGAAAAACTCACAAAATGTATTACCCATTACCGGAGTATAAACTGCAAAATGTTTAGGTGGCATTATTAAATCGCCAAAAATCACATCTTCATTGAAGACTTTAAAATGTCACACAATTAAAACAGGATGTACCGCTTCGTAAGGATGTGCAAAGTTCACACAAACTTCGAAGAAGTGGTGGTGTAAGAATTTTCGTAGTGATGAGTATCCACAAACATACCATAAACAGTTGTGTTCTTTCAAGGTGAGTTTCTGGTAACTCACATCACTTAATGATTATTGAAGAGGCCAGGATACAGGGAAGATGTGTTGTAGAAGTTTGTTTAAAAGAACACCTTAGCAAATTTTTCATTTTAAATAAAATAGTGTTTTACAGTTGGTTCTTGCACTTGTATCGAAATAATCTGTAGTAAATAGTTTCCGAAACGCTCTTTGGAATTGTATTGGTGTGGGATTTATACAATTCCCAAATTGACGCCTCACAGAGCCAAACAAATATGTCAAACAATACTAATTTAGTTGCAGCAACCTTTTAGTGAAAATTGTAAACAAATTGTATTCTGTGAAAACTATTAAAAATAATAAGCAAAATGTTTATGTTCCTGAAGTTGTTTTTTATTTTTTTGTGAGTGATTTAAAAATATTAAGAGTGAATTAAAAATTTTGCAATTCACTTGTGGATAACAACTTATTTGTCAGACTTGTTAAGGTTTTAATAAACGCAGTTTAAAACGTCAAAATTGAATAAAAATGTTTTGCTTGAATATATTAATAATTCATAAGAAAAAAATGACCAATGTCACTAGTACATGCCAACCATTTTTATTTTTGTGTACAATTATTAGTATTATATGAATCACATACGAATGCTACGAAATATTTGAATCTTCGTGTTTCCCGGGAACGGGCTCCCAAGGTCACACCCGTTCCGCAAATATTGCTGAAGTTTCGTTACTGATCTACTGTGCTTTTGTTGTGCTCCTGTTAACTGCCGTAACTTAAAAAAAAGGAGATCTGCCGCCACACGCCTGTAATAAGTTAGCTTGTGTATTTGCATCCAGTTACTTGATTCAGTTTTGCTTTGTTTTATTAAATTTGTGATATTCAAGTATTTGCATTGATTCCAAACAGATGTATAGAATTTTCCGTTTGTTCGTTTTCATATGTGTATGTCTGTCAATTCGCGAGTGTCCCTTTTTTTTTTTCACATATCTTAAGGTGTTTGAAATGTAATATTTCCGGGGTAAAACACAGTGCCGAAACTAGCTATAGGCCGAGTAGGCCCTTGCCTAGGGGCGCCAACGACAAGGGGCGCCAAATTCGTCCAAAAATTATGTTGTATAGTTTTGGAAATTTCATTATACCCTATAAAATTTTATTGGCAATAACGAAACGCACAGTAGTACAATAGCAAGAGATATTTACAACTTAAGTTGCCGCGTGCCGGTAATCCCCAGATGTTAGAAACCAGAATAATCCAGGTCCGGGCTGGGACCATCGTTACTTATGAACGGAAATGACCATTATTTTATGAGTACAACTACCTGCCAAATATTCTCAGACAAATTCGAGTGAACTGGTGTGAGCCATAAATATTTCTTACCATTGTACTACTGTCCGTCTCATTTCGTCAATAAAATTTTATAGGGTAGAATGAAATTTCCAAAACTATACCAAGAATTATGTCATATTAATCTTTTTTTATTTTGAACGGAAGCTCAGAAACATGTAACCGGTGCGACAGGTTTTTTAATGTTGATTTTATTTTGAACTTATATAATATTTATAGATTTATACATATTATATACCTATATGTATAATCTCGATTTTTTTTTCCATTTTTTTTTTATATTTTATCATAGTATCTGTTTTGCATACCTGTTAAAAAATATAAATAAAACTGTTCTGTAAAACTGCATTTTTATGTGTAGGGGAGGGGCGCCTAACGCAAGGTTCGCCTATCCCTAAATATTCTTGGGTTTCGGCACTGGTAAAACAAAAAGGGGGTGTTTACGCTGAGGAGTAAATCTTCGCAGCGTCTTTCCTCCTGTGAGGGGGGTGCCGTACTCCCCCCTCCAAAACAATTTTGTCTTGCGCTCTCGACAGTGTATGCACTTGTATGAAAGAATGGCTTCCCGCCATTTTTCAAAAACAAAAAAAAAAAAAAAACACAACGTAGGTTCTCATTTGTTAGACGATCACAGCTAAGACCAAACTTTGAATTTTTAAATTTTTCGCGAGCCTTTCAAACTTTTTCAAGGTCAATTTAAAGGCGGGAAGGTTGGGTTATCACAATCACAACACCATCGTAATGATTTGTGTATTTGCATCCAGTTTCTTTAATTTAGATCTTTTTTCCTTTATGTTTGAATTTGTAATATAAAAAGATTTATGTCGAGATTGGTTTGCTACGGGAGCGGTGTATCATCCAACATTTTCAAATTCTTGCTACTACGCACGTCTTATTTTTTGAGGTTTGTCAGAATTTGCTGAACATTTGGAGTCTCTGCTCGAGTAACATAATTTACTTGCTTTCATTTTTTAAAAGCATACTCTGAAAGTGAATTTCGCCATATAAGCGAACTGGTGTTAAGATAATGGGTGGGTTAAAAAATAACACTAACTTAACCAACCATATATTTAACAAGTTGTTCTCAATAAAGATAAAATTAAATCAAAAATAACAATTACAAAATTATTCTAAAAATACGTATATAAAAAATACGTTGTAGTTTTAATCGTAACGAGGATACTATGTACTCCACGAATATTAGAATTTCTAGCTCCTTCTCAGTTCTTGGAAATGAATCACAGTAGAGGCCAAAGTACGTACACCAAATATTATACTCTAATTATTCCATTATTAATTTTTTCATATATATCTGGCGTAACTAAGGTATACGCGCCTGTAGCGTCTAAATAATAAACATCATCACTTATTTTAGTTACGTCGAAACCTTCTCTCTGTAGATCATTCTTCTTTAGCTTGTAAGTACCTAAAAATAATAAATACGTCAACGAGGGAAAACATTTAAAGAACCACTCGTACCTGTCATATCTAGTTTCTTCAATATCCTAACAAAAATTGGTCTAGCGTAAAAGGGTAGAGCCTTTTTAGTACCTTCGGCAAGGTAGGTTAGTTTAAGTGTACCATCAGGATCATATATCGCTGCCATGCCGGCTCTACCCTCCTGGCCCCTAATTTCCACACCATAAACAACGACATCTTTATACGAAATAACATTGCTTAACACAGCTTCTACTTCGGAAGTGGATACATTTTCGCCCTTCCATCTGTACGTATCGCCAGTTCTATCTTTGAAAAACAAATTCCCAAATTCGTCCGCAACGATTATATCTCCTGTAAATTAAAACTTGAATTTTCTGTTTGTAGTCATTATTTCGTGATGTACCTGATAGGAAAGCTTTATCGCCTTTGCGGAAAACATCACATACAACTTTTTTCTTGGAAGCCTCTTCATCCACGTAACCCAGGAAGGCTCGTGATGGGTTATTTGGAATAATTTTACCTATGAAAACTCCAGGTTCATTTGGTTTACATGGTATGCACAAACCCCTGGCGTCTCGAATTGGCTCTCCTGTTTGGGGATCTACTTTTATTATGGATATTGGGTATACGGCAGGAATAATACGAGAAATAAAGCCGATTGAGCCCACGGTGTTGTCCACATTGACTGCAACACATAAAAAAGTAAATATAGGCTCCTTTATAAAATACACATGTACAGAGTATACAATAAACTTTTTGTTTCAATATTGAGTAGACGTCGTATGAACGTTTTGGTTTTGCTTGAAAACGTAATTTTTAAAATGACAAGTTTCAAACATTTTAAATTTATTTTTGGTTAATGCATACATAAATTGTTTATTTTTAAAATCTCTGTCACGAATAAACGGAAATAAAATAGTATAAGTCAGTCTGAAGCAACTCAAGCAGTAACTATCTGTTTACTCGCAAACGATCGACAATTTAAGATGACAACTTAATAGATAACTATTATTGTTATGTTATTATCATCATTATTTTTTAAATTCTCGTTGAAACATGTAATTTTGGAGTGTATTTAAAAAAAACGACAACAATACGTATAATTATATGTAATATACGATAGGAAAATGACGTTTCTGGTCAATTAATACTGATAAGAATCTAAAAAATGTCAAACAAATAATGCCAAACAACCTTTTCTATTTTCACGACACATTTGATAAGCCTATTTTTTAATAGAAAATTGATCGGCAAGACGGAATGGTTTACAAAATAAATTAATTGAAAAAAAAAATGGAAGGGTTTATAAAAATAAGGTCTACAGAAACGTGCAATATAAGTATTTATATTTCATTATAAATTGAAACCTGCAATACTTGTTAAACGTTCGAATCAATTTGCTTACCAATATTTGCGTTTCCTTCCGTTGCACCATAGAACTCTGAAACTTTTGGTATATTAAATCTTTCAATGAATTGAACCCATATTTGAGGACGCAATCCATTGCCATAAATCATTCGTAAGTGATGTTGTGTGTCTGTAGGTTTTGGTTGTACTGCTAGTATATATCGGCACATTTCTCCTATATAATGACCAATCTAAAAAAAAAACAAAGGACTTCATAGTAAAAATGGCTAAATATTGAAATAAAAAAACTATTACACAAAGTCTTCATCACTCTTATGAATTTTACTTCAAAATGGCAAATTCAGTAATCGACGGTTCTAGAGCTTACAGTAAATCATTTAATTACCAATTATGGTTTTTCTATTTTTATCAAGCGAGCAACAAAAAACACGATCAAAGACAACCATGGATTTTGGAAGTTCTGTCAACGATTACAGACAAACTTTTAAAAATCCATGGCTGTCCTTGATCATGTTTTTTACACACTAGGTGCAAAATGCATAAGGAAAGTTTAATAAATTATCAAAAGGACAATCGCCAAAAACTAATAGAAGATGCGTTTCCACTGTTAGTTTCACAATTGGTCAACAGAAGTTACGATAACGGCTTTGTATCAAGTAAAAATCAGAAAAGTTTTTCATTAAATTATTTGACTGCCAAATGTTTGTAAGTAATAAAACTAAGTAAATATATAACACTATTGAAACAACTGTAACATACACGCTTCCTTTTTGGCCTTTTAGGTTTGATTGTCACAAAAAAATTTGTGAAGTGAGTTATTGTATACAAATAAGTCTGAATTAAAACATTGTTATCAGAAGTTTTTGTACGTACGGTATTTTCATTATCATTTTTACAGAACATTCAGATAACCTTGAACTTTATAGTAAATACAACTAACATATATTGTACATCACTGAGAATTTGTGGAAGGAGTTTTGTTTAAACAATAAGCGAAAAATATTGACGGAAAAGTTTTAGACTTCAGGAGGAATGGAAAAAATATCGCAGTTTATGAGTTACAGTTACTTCAAAATTATGTCCCTCCACTATCAACCATTAATCGATTTTATGGGTTTTCTTGCTATTTCTTCTGGTGCTATATTAGTACACGCCGATTAAGAACAATATGTTTGAAAACAGTTCAAATACAGTAGATTTCTAACATGAAAACAAATCATTTAATTGTAACGTTGTTGAGTTTGTGAGTTTTTTGAAAAATGAATTAATTTTACATGAAAAGTAACAGTATGCGTGAAAGTAAGTAGACTGGTAACCTGTAACACGGTTGTATGCTGACCTGTGGTTTAGTTTAATAAGTGCATTAATCTAGGTAAGAATTTTAATATTCAAAAAGTTTATACAGAAAGGAAGGCAAACCATCCATAAAAACAATGTAAATTTAAATTAATGAATATTTTTTAAAGGTGACTGTCTGACAGTGTTTTTTCAAGTTAGACATTAACAAGTAGATGTTTAGGTTTTCCCAGATCCAATGTCTCATCACACTTATTTAAGAATTATATCAAAAGTAAGAAAAAAATAAATTATACAAAATCATTATAAATCATTACTGACATTTTATTTGAGTGACTACAATTTACATTTGTTAATCGTATATGGTCTTAAAATGTGTGAAAAATGATATATTTCATTTATTGTCAATCTTAATAATTAATCTCAAAGAAATTGTATGTTGCTAACAAAACTAAAACGTTTTGTTACAGAGATCTAGGATGTTGTAGCTATAGGTATATACTTTTGTTTGATTTTGTGCTAAAATTTTGTGTAATAAGAAATTATTAAAATGTACTGCGTTATACAATTACCAGTTGACAGACGCCTCAGTTATGTGTCAAGTATTTTAGTACTTTTTAGTAACATTATATTTGTAGATTTTTCATATCTATAAATTTATGTTCCACACGTGTAGTAGTTTTGAATTAATTTGTTACTATTTTAAATGAAATAAGATACAGGCTTTCTGGAAAAAATACAACGTAAAAAGAGCTAAGTCTAATTAACTTATATTTAAAATTATAATGTAATTGGTTGCTTTTATGGGTCACTATTTTTAATGGTTGGCCAACACATTTCCATTTTTGCGAATACCTGTTCGTAAAAAATAACAAAATAATTGAAGTACAAATACATAAAATTTGTTGTCAAAATATTTCGGAATTTTGGATTCGGATATTCTCGGTAATACTAAGAAAGATAACTACTTATTTAATTTTTTTCTGGTTTCTTGACATTTGTTGTCCAATTTAACTAAAATATTTAATGTTTCTACAATTTTTGGGTTACTCGTGAAAGTAAAAAGAGGAACACAATTTTTTCAGTTATCTGAATAAATCATGCAATTAAATCAGTATACATCAATTTTACGAAGATAATAATGATATAATTCTATTAGATTCTAAAGTGTTTTGTTTGAAGATAAGTAAATCTATTTTTTTAAATCTCTATATCTAAAGTGCAAAGTGCGATTATTTCAGATAAACATGATTTTTTTCTGTATTTGAAACCATACTTGGATTGGATCTGTTACACTGATTGGTAATCTGCAATATCGGAGTTTACTAAAATTTATAGATATTAGAACTCTTATAGCAACAGTAGATAATGAGGCATTGATTGATTTTAACCATACATAATAGTTTGATATGTGTCCAAATAAAGAAACAGGTTTTTGTTTTTTTTAAGGGTTATATTTGTTATCAAATTAATACGCACTGTTCACTGTTCCCATCTGTACCATTATTATCACTTTCGCGGCTAATATTGTTTGAAAAGTCGCTAAAATTATTTAGGCAGAATTTTCTATTTTTATGAAAGGCAACAGATACATCATAAATATCAAGGCGAATTTATGCAAACAAGAAAAGAAAGAATTCACGTTTTGGTGGCAATAAATATATTAACTTATTATAGAAACTTTAATCTAAAATTTGAAAATTGTCATTATATGTCCATTAACTATTCGCATAACATTTTCAGTTTCGCCCGAAATAACACACCGTATATTTGAAAATTTTCGTAATTTACAAAAAATTCTGATTCTGATTGTATAAGTTGTATAAATATATTGTATAAAGTTTCCAACATGTTCTGTAGGTCTTGTTCTGAGTTCTACAATTTTCCCTCAAAAAAAAAGATATCTTTGACAACAGTTTTATTTTGATTTTAAATCAATGTAGTACGCTTTGAGTATAAATGAATAGTGAAACGTCAGCCCAACTAAAAAAGAGTTTTATTTTGTTCAAATTATCTGAAAACATAAACCACACTCCAGCGAAGCCACTGTTATGGATGGATGGTAATAATATTACTGAGTTCTTAAAATTCCCGGGAAATTAAATGAACTTTTAGGAGAAAATAAATCTGTTCATCGAATCATTTTTTTAAATATCCTGTATAACCATTTTTCGAAATTAAAAGTTATTACGGCACACACAATATTGCATTTCGAAGCGTATTTTTCAATAGTTTTTTTTAATATTTTTTTGAGATGACGTTTTTAATTTTATGAGTTATGTATATTAAGTAGAGCTGGGCGGTCGAAATTTAGTTATCCCCACTACTGGCTGCAGCCTTCCCTTGCCCGCTTCTCGCTTTCCAATTATTATTTTTGATAATTTACACAAATAGTTTTTTTTCAATGAAACCGATACTTGAAAATTATTGAAAATATTATTATTTCGGGGATATGGATTTTAAAATCATCAACTAATGTTCAGTTAACATTATTTTTCCCATAATTTTCTTCGAGACACGTAACATCGGCTGCGCGCCATTGGTCTGCAGTGGTAGGAGTCAATACGAAGCGTTTAAATTTCAATTAGCTTTAATTATAAGTTATACATAGACGTGGGTGTAGCCAAAATTCAATGTGATAGAAATTTAGGTTAACATTGTACTCTCACTTACACGTCAAGTGAATGTCATCCCCTTTATATCTGTCACTTGTGTCACTCTGGTTCGACATTTACATGCAGTGGCTAAACCTTCAACATTTTGACAAATCAAGTGTAGGCTAATAGTGAGAATCCACTTTGTGGTTGAGTTTTGTCTGTGACTTTACATATATGGAGATGAAAATATACAAGGATCTAATGAATGGTAAAGGAGTATGCCACGCTGTATTTCTTAACAATACTTTGAGATAACGTTATTAATTTTTTGGAGAAGCGAGAACGTTGAATTTTGATTAAGCTGCTACCATTTACAGGACAATAATCTTATAGTACGGACGCGGCCATAGTTATTATTGTTATTTTTTAATATTACACAATTTGAATGTACGCTCCTGATTTGAAAAACGGGACAATGACTTTGTCAAACAACATTAAATAAATCCTATTTTTTTTTTTTTTTCTAAATTTGGAAGTGTGTGTCAAACCTAGTGGTCCCGTTTTCTATGGCCGCGACTGTACATTAAATTATACTTAAAAATTAAAGGCAATCTCTTAGGCAGTTTATCAGTGACGTCGTCACAGTACCTTTTTTAAAAATATTACTTGGGAAGAAAAAAATAGTATAAAACAAGCGTTTGATACTAAACAGGCTGGAGTAACGTGTTTAACACGTGAAACTGATGAACGAGGGGATATTTAAATACGACGTCCCACTTTGCATTATTTTTATATACCTGTTACATCAACTACATTAAAAAACTACTTACCGTGCATTTATATTTGGCACATTCCAAAAAATATGCCGATGCGGAAAATTTTTTCCTTATGACTATAGTAGCACCATAGATCAGCATTTGTCCAACTGACATACATCCTCCGGCAGTGTGGTATAACGGTAGAGGTACGTAAAAAGTGTCAGAGCTTTTAAACCCAGCTAACCAATGAATAGCTGCTGCGATGAAAATGTACCTACAAAAATATTTACTTATCAAATCGAACGACAATAAATTAACTAACTGACCGTGAATTACTAATTACTGCAGCTTTAGGCAAACCAGTTGTACCAGAAGTATATATGTACACCAACCGGTCGTGGTGTTCGGCCTTTTCTGAATTTGCGGGTGGCGTTATTGCTGCTTCACTTAGTAACTGATTTAAGTCTCTAAATTTTTGATCCTCACTAAACTTGCCTTCAGTTACAAATTGGTATAGCGACACTTTTGATTCAATTTTTTCAAAAATATCATTTATTGCTAAAACAAAAACACAATGAATTATAGAACAATATCGGTTTCATAAACTTACCACCGGTGAAATCGTTACCAAATATCAGCGCTTGACTACGAGCGATTGTAATGGAATGCACAAGAGAATCCAGTCTTTGGTTTGTGTTTATTAAAGGTACTATCACACCTATCTTTGTTAATCCTAGCCACAATCCAATGAATTCTGGCCTATTTTCCAAAAGCAACGCAACAACATCGCCTCTCTTGTACCCGTGGCTTTTAAAAACATTCGCTACTTTATTACTGAATTCTTCAACTTGAGCAAAATTCCATTCTTGATCTTCAAAAAGAATACAAGTTTTATGAGGGTGTTTTTGTACGTTGTGTCTGAATATATCGGCCAGCGTCAAGTTTTTTCTTTGCCACGATTTTATTTGAATTAGTAGTCTTATATATTTGTAGAGAGCTCTGCAATCACGCCAGAGAATACTTGTAAAGAGAAAGTTTACATCGAAAAGGAGGTATATATAAACAAATAAACTACATATTAGTATATGTCCTGCTTTGTTTGAAACTTGAAGCCTATAAACACCAAACACCAATGCAGCACAATACAATAATGTCATGAATTTACAAAAAAAAGTAATTGAATTTTCTAATGAGTTCATCTCAGAGTATATTGTCAACATGTTATTGCTGAGTACTAAATAAGTAAACAAACAACAGAATTCCTATAATGGAGGTAACAAAAAAGTATATTTACGTGCAGATGAATCCATTAGATTGGTCAGACAAGCTGTAGGTACTTTTAAATTTACAATTCAATGAGTTGCTTCTTTTGTACTAACAGTCATGACGCTATTATTTAATGATGACCTTATATTAGCAAAGAAGTTAAATGTATACTATTTGGCAATATATGTAAAGGTTACAGATATCATCTAAAGGTACATAAATACCGCTTCAAAAAATTAGGACTTCGAAAACTCTATAATAAAATAACTTACTATTTACTGTTTCTTACACATGTACGAAAAATGCAAAACATGTTATTGTTTTACTGTTCTATGTTTTTCATTGTTATTACTTTAAACATTTTATATAACAAAGAATCGCATTATTAAGTTAATTCCAATAATTATAATAATTTGTATTTAAATACAAAAAAGCCACACATGTATACAGCAATGGTTTCTTTGTCTTTTTTTTTAATAGTGCAATCATATTTTTGCTTCAGTTTTGAAAAATCATATTATAAATAACCTTGTGCCTAATCGATTTAATTATTAAAATGAACTTTGCACGTTTAGACACGACTCTATTATTACGTTGTGAACAAGTACGTTTCAAACCATGTAATACTACAAACAAATTTGATAAAACATTTCTAAAAAAAATAATAATAACAAAACCACTTAGGCAGGTCAAGCTTTTTCATTTTTCTAGTTGTGTTGTCAAAGTTATGAAGTCATCGAAGTTTTATTTCCTGAATGTAGGCTAAGAAAGCATCGTAATAGGGTCATTTCGATGCTTCAGAATTTGAAGGATATGAAAATGTTCTTTTCCAGTTTGTCGACGACTTTATTAAACAATAATCTCCGAAATTACTGGACTAATTAATGCGAAATTAGGTGTACTTTAAGATGATCCTATAGATAATAAATCATTGTTCGTCCAGACCAAAAAAACTGATGACATCATCTCAAATTTTGCCAAGTAAATCTCACTTAAAATTTTGTATATAGAATGCTTTTTTATCTGTGGTTTGTTTAATAATGTATTCAATATTTTTAATCCTACATACGTATGGGTTATTACGTTATCAGTATCACGAAAGAAATAAAATTGAACTGTCTTTGAACCTGTATACCGGAGTCCTTGAGATCTCGATAATACACTACGGCTGGTCAGAGATTACAGAAAATCGACAAAATTTGATGATCTCAATGTTAAATGTTTATTAAAAAAGATGTCCTGAGATCCACAGTGTTAAGATAATTTCAATACAGAAACAGCTTTTAATGAACTAAAATAAGAAATTACAAGATGATAACTAATATTAGACCAAGAATTTTTATTCTCCAATGGATATTTGCTGTTTACTTCGTAGCAATAATGCACGCGTAGAATAATAGTATATTATTCATTATACGAGCATGTTATGATGACTTTTATAAGAGCCATAACATGCGAGTAATATGTACTACATTTTATCTACGACCATTTATTGAATAAGTTTGTCTTCCAAAAGCACAACAAATTAACAATAATTTTAACGAATTTTTCGTTGTCTATTTAAAATGTGATATTTGTTTTCATGGAGCATCAGAATACAACGATTAAACATTAAGTTATTGTCATAACGATAACTTATTAATGGCCAATCAGAAAGCTCACATTGAATTTCATAACTACACAGTTATCAGTCGGGGCTCCTATAATTTATTTAAAATGAACAATGTTAAAAGCGAAAAGCTAAAAACAAAAGGTCGCAGATACATATATTTTCCTGGCACTTTAAATTATATTACGTCGTCAAGTTTTATTTAGTGTTAGATTACGGACATTAATAGTTATTTTTGTATCACAAGGAAACTAGGTTTTTGCAAAAAGCATGTTCTGGACGAGCAATACATAAGTAAGATTTTGTGTGCAGATTTTTATATAAATAAAATTGTTATCAATTATACTGTTTTTGGCGGTAAATAAATATGGAAATGAAAGTGTATAAATAATCCCTGCTAGTCAAAGTTGATAGGACCAGCCCGATAATCGTAAACCGTGAGTTCGAATTTCACTTGGTGCTGAACATTTTTTACTTGCCTTTCTCGAATTTTTTACATTACACACATTATCTGCTTTATTTATACTTAAAACAAGGTGTAGGTATTTTTACAGTCCCTTTAAAAAGGGTATACTAGTTCCAAACTTAGAAAAATGTTGCTTTATTGTAAAAACATTCACAGACAACCAACCGATCAGTGACAGAATGACAAGATACAATACCAGCCGAAACCGATAACCATAGAGAATCCCTAAGTCGATAATTTTAGCTTCCAAATGAAAGACTATGAAAAAGCACGCCCTATTATATATACACTGTATTTGTTTGTTTTTTTATTAAACATGGAAAGAAACTTCACTGAATGTTACAAAAAAGGAAATATTTATATAACTGAACTAATTACGCACTAAAAAAATAGAAAGATTATTTGCAGCTAACTCCCCGAGTTCATCAATTTTTTGATGGAAATAAATACATATACTAATTTTTGTAACATATAACGTTACTCTGGTTTTACATTTTTACAAAATTAGACCCAGCATGGTTAAAAATTTTTGAGAAAGATGAGTTGGTATGTTGTGCAACATATGTATCAATATCTTACTAAAATTTAGATAACAAGCAAATTTAAAGGCCTAAAATTATGTTTTAGGGTATGCAATAGTGGTGGTCCACTCACATAGTAACAACATTAATAATTAAGAAAACGCTTTAAAAAAGTAACACTTACTCGTATAAGAATTACCTACTAAAATTATCTATGATAATTTAAAGATAATAGAAACCTAATTTATTTGAAATTCTCTGTTGACTTTTAAATTTAAAAAATCGCTCGTTATTTTAATACTTAATAATGATTAAAATGTATAACAGAAGCAAGTTTAAGCTGCACAACAAAAAGTCAATTACAGCCAGCAGCTAAATTACAGCAGGGCCAACCAGTGCTTTTTACGCATGTTTATCATAACGTTGTTTTATTGTTAAATATTGTTGTCAACAAATGTAAAATTTACATTTTACTGCATCTAATAAGTCAATTATAATAATACTCATAATAAATGAATAGATTTGTCACATGAAATCAAAATGTCACAATGAAACTTGCGAAAAGTAACGATTGCAAGTTTCAACGATCTGATAAAATAACTCTAGAAACGCAAACAATATTATTATTACCTGTTGCGGCTAGTATACAATATGAAAAACAGAAATGGATTCTTAAACTATGACTATGACGTAAGTAAACGAGCGTGTAATGTTGCATATTGAAACCACTACTTACTTAAAAATGTTCTGATTATATTCGTTGGGAAGGACGAACAAAAAATTTGCAATTGCATTTTGTCACATTTATAATAATGCGGTATTTCTGGAGATTACCTGCTTAATGAATTTGCAAAAGGTCGACAAAAGCAGGGAACATGCACTTCGTATTGAATGAGGTGCGAATCGTCAGAAAAACAAGGAATGAGGCTACTAGTCAAAGTGAACCTATGACAATATTTACCTTAGCTACTGCAGGATACTTAAAAGTGTACTCTTTATGCATATATTTGCTATGTAATTATTACTTTAAAATGAACTAAAAATCAACTAACATGACAGTAATTAGATAAACCTCAAACTTAGTAAACTGTACGATCTTCGATTTTATTAAAGAAATAGAGAGCTTCCAGTTTAGCTATTACACTATGGCTACGGAGTACAGCGAATATTTTTTAAACATGATATGATAAGATTGATAAGTAACATTGAGAGTTATGTCACTTTGAAAGACAAACGGCACTGTTTATTCACATGCTACTGAGAAAGATATGTTTGTATAGAGTCCTGCAGAGACAACTTTCGTTGGGATTGTTTCTGTGACTCTTGAATTTGTAATATAGTTTTAAAAAATATATTATTAAAAATGCATTAACAAAGTAGCAAGTATTACAAAAAGCATTCATAACTGATAACAGTTTCATACTTAACAACACTACATAATCTAAAAATTTAATAAATTTAAATAACAACAAATATGTTAGTTTGGACTGAGTACTTGACACCTGGCACATCAGGTTCAAATTCGATTTATCTTTATCTAATGAATCTAATGATAAATGAACATTATTTCAAACATGCTTTCACTGATTTAGATTTAGTATTACTATCCGTATTATTCCTAAGAATTTTGAAAAGTTTTATTTCTCTCTTCTATCCTTGTAAAGAACTTTCAAATGACGTGCTAAAATGGGTGTTATCGTTGCAAAAACCGAACTAGTAACCGAGCTGCTTTACATTTCTAGTCCGCGACCGAATTGCGGCACAAATTTTTTTCAACTACTTGATGCCTTTTCTTATGACCGAACTGCGGTAAAATTCTCAACTGGGGGTTAAGCGGTCTCGCCTTAATTAATTAGTAATTTAGGTGATGAACAAGTTATTATTATTATTATTATTATTTTGCATCTTCTCACAGACGGTTGTCCAATTATGAGAAGGCATTATTATGCTTAATTCTGAGTCAAGAATGGTGTATTTTTTGAAAACTATGCTAGCTAACAGAGAAATTGTAACTTCATAAAAATTTTATAATTAATGGTATTAACATGTTATATTTGTTTTAAAATTTACTGTTAGTAAATCCACTTTGTCTGTTGTCATGTCATGTTATGTTAATGGAAAAACTAACTGTTGATCATATACACACCACAGGGTTGTCAGCTAAAAAGGGACACCCCTCGAATAACTTTTTTAATTATGAATCTATGTTAATAGAATTTAGTTTATACATAAAGAAGAAACGTTCTATGTGTGCATCATTTCATTAACATAAAATGACTAATAGAAAACAATAATTTTAAAAAATCGTAAAACAGTCATTCATCTGAATTTTTATTTTACTACAAAATTGAGAAAAGATACTCTTCAGGGTTCAATATTTAATATTGTATTTGTTTTTGAAAAATAATATTTTCTTGAAGCACTTTCTGTGGTTTGTTCATTTTTTAGACTGACGAAAATATTTCATTTATTAAGCATTTCTGAATAACCCAATCCAACATTTTATCCCATCTAAGTCGCACTAGCGAATAAAGGAGAATAATAAAAATTGCAATAATTTACTAATACTAAATGGTGACGGTTATAGAGATATTTTTACATTTTTGAGATAAAAAAACGTGAAAATTTTTGAAAAGTAAAGAAAAGTTAAATGGTATTTCTGAAATATATTTTTTTACAATGCTTTTTTACAACAGTAAATTTATTTAAATTACCTCTGGCTAATAACAAAAAAGTTATTCAAGATGTTCCCTTTTAGCTGACTCACCCTGTCTTGACTTTTCTCAAGATTTAAATTTATAACATGACCTAAATAATGTTTTTATCTTCATACAAATTTATTCAATTGCCATAAGTCCCCATCGTTCGAGAACTACTTGAACAAAATTTGTAAGTGCTCATTCACAATGGGCATAAAGCATAAGCATTAGTGCATAAAAATTTATGTTTAGTGCTCTATGCTTGTATTCCTTCACAATAAGCATAAATGCTCATTCACAATGGGCATAAAGCATAAGGTTGTCCTAAGCATTATGCTCATTGTGAACGAATACAAGCATAGAGCACTAAACATAAATTTTTATGCATTAATGCTTAGGACATCCTTATGCTTTATGCTCATTGTGAATGAGCAATAATAAAAAATAATACACGAGAAAAAAAAGATTTAAGAGTGTCTTTACACTCATCCTTATTATTAAATAAACTGTCTAATAAATGCATCAAATTGGCACAATATTTGTAGTTTAAAAATATGTTACGCGTCTTTTAGCTACAAATTATTTCTACAATTTACGTGAATATTATGATTAATGATTATTCAGAAAGGTACTATCTTGTATGTCTCATTTTTATTTTACATTTTGTTTGACGTGTGCAATGTCATTTAATGAACTCTTGGGTTGCACATTTAAAATTGATGCGTTGAAATAGAAAAGTAATTGTGTTTTACCATCTTCACAATATTATTAAAGTACATAAAAGTTGTCTGTAGGGTAGATAGTTGTTCAAAAAATGTGCAACACAGAGGCGTTTACAGACAAATTAAAGCGGGAAACTTACATTTTCGTATTTCGTATTTTACGAGCTGCTAAGGAAACTTGAAATTCATCAAAATGAACCTATTACTGTTTTGGTCGATAATTTCAATACAGTTTCGCAAGTATCAAATCGATGACTGGATTATACTAGTCTCCAATAAATTTAACTGTGCAACATAACTATTCTTTACTGCCTAATACATACAGTCACAATTATAAAATAATGGTCGTCAATGTCAGATTTTGCCATTTAATTCTGTGTAAAAAAAAAAAAATGACACTATTTTATGATTGTGGCTGTATTTCCTAGACAGGTAGTTTTAAAATATTTTAACTTTTATGTTTTCCACATTATAATAATCTTTAAACAACACATTATGATAACTGACGAATAATTCGTTGTTAATTAATCAGAACTTATTAGCAAAAAATCTAGTATCTGTAAACGTGCAGTTCGAACTATGAGAAATAAAATGTAAAAGTACTACATAAGAAAAGATCTACTTATTTGAGAACGTAAGTTTTTAGGAAATCAGATATAGGTAGTGGTTTTCTTTGCACACTTTTTTGGAACCACGTTCACTTAGTAAAATAGTCTATTTAGATACTTCGTTTTTTTTTTCATTTTTAATTTATAATTCTTTTTGTCAAATATGGAGGTAATTAATATCAAACTCGTAATTTTTGAATATGATAAAACTTGGGTAACACACATAAATAAAAACTGAAGCATAATGAACAGTGACCTCTGTTAAAAGAATGTAAGTATTCCATTGGTAAAGTGACGCAAGCAATATACCATGAACTTGAACTGAAATATTTGGAAAGAATGCAAATGTCATGGCAATTATTTTGCATTTTGCAATTTTTAATTATTACCACCTCATAAATCTATTGTTAATTTTGTTAACTAACTTTGCTGAATCAAATAAAGTAGTTGGTAGTTTTTTTTTAACTAAAAGTTTAGTTTTTGTTGACTAATAAACTTGCATGTATAGTACATATCAAGGTCCTTATCATCAGCTGTATACGTGTATGAGATAATAGTAAACACAAACACGTGGTAAAATGACAGCAACTATCGCTAACTCTAAAGTACATGCTACTTAAAAAAGCCTCTGAAAGGTATAAAGTTATTTGTAAAATCTTACTTTATGTCCCTTGGAGCTGTCATCAGAGCCACATAGAACCATTTCCACTTTCCTGCAGCGACGTACGCAACGACAGCAACTAGTATTAGTTGTATGAGGCTTTTCCACCCCAAAAAGATGCATACAACGGCACTTAGAGCCACCAGTACAATTGCTATTGTTGTCATGACCAGCAGTCGTCGCACCAGGACACGAACTGGCCTGGTCTTCAAGCTTCTACGATGCGTGGCGTTTGCTCTACTTGAATCCTCACTAGCGATATCTTTCCCGCTCTCTAAGTCCTCCGACTGGCGATTTTCACAAATCTGACGAGGAAAACGAGGTTAAGTTGTTTTGTGACAGCAACGCACTCTGACGTTTGAAATGTGTTTAAATGGTTGCAAACATTCTAGTTTTAACACGTAGTGCAATCTTTGGAGAGGTATTGAAAACTGAAGAAAGGACAACGTAAAGCCGCTTTCACACGACTAAATAGTGCCGGTTTCACAGAATGCGAGGTTGTATTAAAAAAGAAACGTTATATTTTTGTTGTTTAGTGAATTAAAAACATAATTCATGTTTTTTATTTGATTTTCAGTCTGTATTAGGAAAGATTTCAACTTCGAATTTGGTCAAAATCCAGCAAATGCAACACAAATAACTACTATGTTTAACAGCGGCTGACATTTTTAATAGCAAAGATAAGCGACTCTTTCAGGAAATTTGAAAATAAATTTATGCAATTTAGTTATAATTGTCCGCAATTAGGATTAACTGATTATTATACACCTTAACACTTTTCGAAAGAAAGCTTATGCACAGATTAGCTCGAAAATGTTACCTATAAGTTTATAGGATACAATGTCCATTTGAATAGTTCGAAAAATCTAACTAATACCATTTTATATGTACATTTGTCAAAGCAAAGTAACTCAAAAAAAGTTTGTTCAAATTTGCGGACCTTTGTCGGCCAACAAATATGATGCAACTGAGAACTGAGGATTTTTAAAAATATATAAAAACGCAAAGATATTGAAAACTGCTGTCCAAAAAATATTTGTGTCTAATCTTAAGTTTTAACTTCAATGAATTTCGTATCAGACTGCGTCAAAGATTTCTTTTCAGTGTTCACGGGGAACGTGCAATCTTTGTCCGCCAGACCGTTACTGGAACATCCAGCACCAAACGGGAATAAAGTGGCTCTTCAAAATTTCTTTTGTTATTGTTAAATTGCGTTTCACTTTTCTAGTAATTTCATCAGATGTACCTACATCTGTGAAGAGATTTCACAATCACAATTTAATGAAAGTGTCTTCTTATTAGTTTAATACCCCATTTTTTTCGTAAGTCACTGGGTGAAAAATTGCAAATTTTACTATGTATTGCTCTGTTTAACATTTAATTACACGTATAAACAGATTGTTTTAATTTAATTAATTCCGGCAGATTTAAGTATTTCGAAATTGCAAATAATAATAAACAACATTTTTGCATAATGGATATGACTTATTCTAGATTTAATTAACTCAAAGTAAGAGAAGAAATTAGTCGAAGGTTATTTCGACAGAATTTCCCTCGTTCCAGTAGGGTAACTAACATCTCCTCAGCCCCTGCGCCACGAGGGTGAAAAATCCAAGGGGGCACAGTCTGCACAAATGCGGACAATATGAAATATATTTAAAGCAGGTAATCAGCGAGAAACAATGTATTATTAATCTCTAGTAAGGTACTTATTTAATTTTAACCGTTTATGTTGATACTTCGAAAGAATTCGACCAGTATCACGTTATATCGTTTATCAGCGCCGGCATTGGAGTACCTAACGCCGGCATTAAATGGATGCATATGTGTTAAAAGAAACTGAAAATTAATTGATTTTGTAAGCAAATATAAATGGTAAAACGCTAACTAAAATTTGGCTAATCACCCCCACCACCAATGGGATGACATCATCTCTACAATTTATAATAGTAGTTTTTTGAATTTTATAAAATAAGATACTCCTGCACTTGTGGTGTGTGAATCCGTGTCGAATTTTCACCCCAGGCATTCAGATTTTTGGAAAAAAATTAAAAACGGTGTAACAATATTTTGCTGAATTCATTCATAGTTTTTAGAATTATTTATACAGGTGACTCAAAAAAATTAATGAATCAGGCAATTTATTTTATTGATTAAATCAAGAACGACTCACTTCATTTTTCCAAAAATTTGGGAATACATCAGTACTGTTATTACTAGTATTACACTGCATCTATCTAAATTGATATACGTGTCCTTACAAATATGTTAGTGACGTCATCACAAAATTTTGGAAAATTTGGGAAAACTCATTTGAAACGTACGCGCAGCATGCTTCTTTACATTTACTTCAACGTTACATGCATAACTTTATTTTAACTTATAAAGGTCCCCATAAAAAATAAAATTCGCGCAATCAAATTTTATAAATTTTCGAAAAGACATTTTAAAGTGATTTAATTGTTTAGTTCAAACTTATTGTCACAATATAAATACTGTATAAAAATATAATTAACCTTAGAATTAAATGAAGTTGAATTTAATCAACTAATAGTTTACTTATTTTATTATTTTAACGTGGACATCTCATGAACAAGGTAAATAATTGCAAGTCGTCAATAGTGACTCCAACTACATTAAGAACTCAGTTATCTTACATTCTTGAAATATATCTTTTCTAATTGGAGATTGACCTTCAATAGGCTGCATATAAAATAGCTTCACATATTCTTGTGAAAACATAGCTTAATTATTATAAAATGAAAGGTATAAAATAGTTAATAATACTGAAACTACATATTACTGCTCTTGAAAAAACATTGCTGGTACGGTGAATGTGAATAGGTAACATTAGAATTTATTTTAAGAATAAAAAACAAAATACGACTACCTACTATTTCCAGTGAATGAACTAGAATGACTTATGTTGAAACACCGAAGAAAGTAAGTCGGTTATCTAATGTTCCAAAATAATCCTTTCGCAGCTGATGCAAGATCGATGTATGTATGAAAACTTGATTAAATAATACCACTGTCATATTTTGTACTAAAAATTCGGTAAATGTGTCTTCTTCCTTTTAATTAATTTTTAGTATGAAAACCAAAATCAGACATAGGTACTTATTTATGTAACTCTGCACAACCATCCACATAAAATAAAACAACGGTTTCTTTTCTTTCATAGAAATTGTATCCAGGGAAGTTAAAGACAGACTCCTGCTTTACAAAAGGTGACAAAAGTTTCTCAATCTCCATAACCCCATGAGCTTAATGTCAAAATTCCAAAATAACTTTTGCGGTGGATAACTTACCAATCTAGGTATAAGTTACTTAATGAATGCAGAGACAGGTTATTAATTAAGTATTATCAAAAGTGTTTCCCTTACTTAAAGAAAACGATAGAATGTGTGATTATTTACTTATTTCGATTAATCCTGTCATTAGTAAAATATCTTAGAACGTCTTTCATCAACAAATAGTGCAAAATGTGGTCTCTCGATTTAAAAATTAAATTTCGTGCCTTAAAAACTGCGAGATCTCACTTGAAGAGGAAACTTTAGAAATCAAAACGGCAAATGTCGTCTACCATGATAAGGTGTACTGCGCATGTACTACATTTGTAATTGTTGTACGTACCATTGTTTGATTCGAATTATTTTTCGTCATTATCGAAGAGTTATTCATTTTGTTTACCTGTATGCGGAAAAACGATTGATAGTCCGGTACACAGTAAACAGTATCTTTCAAAGCTTCTCTTTGAACGCAAACACCGTTTCTATGTGGCTCTAAGGAGTCCGCAATATAGAATATAGGAGTAATAGCGATATAGTAGGTACAAAAATTTGAGGATATTTGACAGGATTATCGTTTCGTGGTGTCGTGTTAAAATTATTAGGCAGAATTTTGTCTGTAATTTCACCAAAGGGTAATTGTTTAAACAAAAATGAAATCGCATTCGATGCCACGGCCCTCTCAACTGCTATAATTAGTACAAGATCACTTTATTAACGATTTGCTAATCTGATGTGTCGAGTAGTTTTTGGCCATTTTGTGATTCATGGTTATAATGCAATAGTATACATGTTCACGCAAAGCACGTGGCCGAAATTAATTTATTCAAGCTCAACTTATTTTAATCACGATATCTAAGGTTCTGGATGAGTTATTATACTATTCACACTTTATAACTTTTCACTCGAGATTTAAAGTAGTTCATTTATGGCAGTTAAGTTACTCTTAAACATTGATGACCCATTTTGAGAGAAAGAACTTTGAAAATTATCATCAGCTAAATTAATAGCATCATGGACTCGAAATGGGAGGGGTATTTCATACTTATTTTGTTATTCACTGCTGATTCGTTTTTGGCCAGTTAATTTTACTTGATTTTTATTTTTAGGCCAGCAGCCAATATTAAAAATAAAAATCAAGTATTTATTTTGTTTTATATTAATCTACTATTTTCTTACAGCCTCATGAATTCGAACATTTATTCTCAAATTATTATTTTAATTTTGACCGTAGTCACCCTGCATGTTATAATAAAAATAGGGATAGATTATATAACAACAAAGCCTGCTGTATGTTTCAAGTGAGATTTTCTAAATCACCTTTTTAGTGGGACAAATACGTCAGTTTTCGCACTTGCAGAATATACACTAATACTAATGTAGCATTAAATAAACATTGTGTTTCGAGAATTTCAGGAAAATTAGATAAGTTATTTTAGGTTTGATTTAGTCAATTCTTGCATCATGTATTTTTTTTTTAGATATCAGTTATAAATACATATAAAATTATAAAAAAAGAGTGGACTGAGAAACTACATTGTACATATATGTTATTCTTTTTGACCGAGTCGTAATAAAAATTATCTCAAATTGAGTAGCAATAAGCTATAACCGCACTATATCTTTCACCATACTTTACAGAAGCATATTATTTTTCATATTTTAAATATGATTTACATATCTGTAAAATTTTGAGACATAAATTAGGAGGCATGAAAAATCGAGAAAACATGCAACTGGATATTAGTGAAATGGACTCTATTCAAGATATCGAAAAGCAAAAATATTGAACTACAGAAGTGAATGTGGAGGCTGTTTTATTACGCCGTGGGTTTTCGCTTTTGAGATCTTACATCTAACTTTGATTTGACTAATGTTTTATACAGGGTGTCCCAGAATTCGCGCCATTCCCGTGAATGACATGTTCCCTGTCCCGAACTGTGCCGTAATTCGCAAAAAGAATTGTCCAGGCTTTAACCGTGTGAGAACTGGAAGGCGATTAAGTTGACCAATAG